TATAACAACCGATTTTTATACAAATCCGAGGGAAAACGTGGCTAAAACCATCAAAATACAGAATATCGGGAAGTGCCCTTATATGTGACTATATTACCCATATTCTGTCACCGAAGCTGGAACCCAAAACTGAAAAAAAATGTTGCAAAAATCATCAAAATACCGAATACCGGGAGGTACTTTTATATGGTGACTATACGAAAACCTAAACCTATATATACAATGTTCCGTCATGGAGCTCGAACCCATAACGAACTAAAAATACCAGTTTTTCCACAAATTTGTAAAAAAAAAATTATAAAACCATTGAAATACCGAATATCGGTAGCTTCCATTATGTGGGGGCTATCCCTACAACGTGGACCCATATATTTCATTTTGAATACCAACCATTCTAGAAACAATACAAACTACCACTTCAAATTTAAAAGCTTGACGTCAAATAATGTGGGCTATATCGTTATTTCAACAGACAGACCAAGGTCAGACAGACAGACGGACATCGTTAAATCGATTAAGAATTTTATGCTGATCATGAATATATATACTTTATGGGGTCTATGACGAATATACAAACGGAATTACAAATTTAATTTACCCATCTTTCCAAGATGGAGGGTATACAAATGAATTAATCTCTTCCTTTAACAAGTTAAAAAGTATCGGTCGGTTTTGCCGACAGATGTATACCCTCAAATAATGGGCGATTATTTAAATATTTTTTGACTTCTCTTATGATTATTCAAATTTTTGACCCTCTAAGGCATGGGTTCCGAAGGAATGGGCCAATATTGTCCATTTTGTATCGGACCTAAATAAATATGATAAAAATATTGCGACGTGCCAGGTTTATATGACACATGTGATAATTTTTAGAAAATGTTTAAATGTGCGTGGGGTACCAGATATAGTCGACCGAAGTATCCCATCATCTAATACAGGTAAAAATATTGATATATATAAAATTACAAGAAAATCGAACATTTATATCCAATTCTATGTGAAATCATAAATTTCACATACATCTCAGGTTTCTGATTGAGGGAAATATTTAGGTTGTAAAGAGTCACTGATTTGTTATGACAGATAGAAGTGTGGAAAATTGTGACCCTTTGTGGGTGAGTTACCAGAAGGGGTTCGCACATATATATATCATCTTCACAACAGATCTTGTGTTAGCAAAAATGTTTGTATGTGTGAAATTTGAAGAGATTTGGATGCTTATTTCGCTTTCTTTGAGCGTTTTGTTTTTCGAAATCTTGAACCCTATGTGGGGGAGGTACCAGAAGAAATGATCCGATCTCTACCATATTCATAAGAGATTTTGTGTTGATAGAAATTTTGAGATATACCAAATTTGAATGGAATCTGATGCTAATTTTTTTTTTACAATCTTCATGGATATTCAAAATTTTAACCCATCGAGATACCAGAAGGAGTGGACTGATATATTCCATCTTCACACCAGACCTTGGGTTAAAAAATGATTGTTATGTTTGTAATTTAAGGACAATCGAACTATTACATAACATTTTATAATTATTTAAATTTGTACCCCTTTGTACCTCCTCCACTTGGTGGAGGGGACCGATATTTTCCATTTTCGCACCTGACCTAGCACTGATGAAAATATTAGGATTTCCAGTTGTTGGAGCAAAATCATATTATCCTTTCTTTTTCTGTGCAGTAACATTTTTTTTTTTTTGAAAATTTCGACCTATTGTGGGGCAGGTACCAGAAGGAGTGGACTGATGTTACCCATCTCCGAACTCGATTTTAGTTTGAAAATAATATTATGGTGTACCAAGTTTCGACCCAATCGGATACTCCCTCCGAGAGCTATCGCGCGAGACCTAGGGTTGAAAACCGTTATTTCGATTATGGCCGTATCAAATTATATATACCCCCTCTAGCCATATGGTTGAGGGATATTAAATGCGACCTGTACTTTGTTTACAAAAATACATTGATAGACGGACAGACGTGGATAAATCACCTCAAAATGTGATCCTATGAAGATCATCGAAAGGAACTGTGGGTCTATTTCGTACAAATACATAATACCGTGTCCGCAGTATGGCGGAGGGAATGACAATTCACTTTCTGTGATTAAACAAGTAAAAAACCATTAAGTTCGGCCGGGCCGAACTTTGAATACCCTCCACCATTTGGAACGAATTAGAAAATTAAAAAAAAAAAATAAAATCCATTAATTTTTATACCCTACACCACATAGTGGTAAGGGTATTATGTCTTTGTGCATTTGTTTGTAACATGGAGAAGGAAACGAGATAGACCCATAGTTACTTTTGAGAACCTTCATAGAATCACTTTCTGAGTCGATTTATGCATGTCAGTCCGTCTGTCCGTCCGTCCGTCCGTCCGTCCGTCTGTCCATGTATTCTTGTGAACAAAATGCAGGTCGCATTTATTATCCGATTGAGATGAAATTTTCCAAACAATATTTTTTTGGCCCAAGGACGAACCCTATAGATATTGGTGAGAATCGGATCAAATTTAGATATAGCTCCCATATATATCTTCATCCGATTTCGGGTTAAATGTGCACCAAATGTCCACTATCAGTCCAAATTACCTGAATTTTGGCACACCCAACCGAGTTCGGCCTAGAAGCAAGTATATCAAACCGGTTCAGATATAGCTATAGCTCCCATATATATCTTTCATCCGATTTGATCTTTAAGTCCCTCACATTCCTACTATGCACTCCACAACCGTGATATTTGGTACCAGGTATTAGATGGAGCACAGAAATAGCTGTTTTAAATTTTATCGAAATCGGTTCAGATTTGGATATAGCTCCCATATATATATTCATCCGATTTCGGGTTAAATGTGCACTAAATGGTCAATATCAGCCCAAATCACCTGAATTTTCGTACATAAGACCGAATTCAGTCTAGAAGCTAATACGTAAAATTTGGAGAAACCCGGTTCAGAGATAGCTATAGTTCGTAAAATGCACGATAGAATTAGATAGATTTTGATTTTGTACCAAATATCTCATAGAGCTCTGAAATGCCCTGTATAAACCTTTTTACGAGAGCTCTACTAAATATGCATAGTGGTGTAGGGTATCATATAGTCGGCCCCGCCCGACTTTTGAGCTTTCCTTACTGGTTTTTTTTAAATCTTTACAATATCTAATATAGGAAGGTGCCGATATATGGGGATATATATGATATTGTGGACCTTTGTGGACCTATTAAGACAAATCTAAATCTGGGTGTAAAGTACTCACAATGAACTCCTTGTGTGGATTTTCAGATAATTCCATTGGAAAAAGTGGCTAAAATCATCAAACTACTGACCGTTATATGGGGGATATACGATATTGCGGACCTATATAGACAATGCCCTTTCAGAGAGTAAAGTGCTCACAAAGAACTCCTTGTGTGGATTTTCAGACAATACGATTTGAAAATGTGGCTAAAATCATCAAAATACCGAATATCGGGGGTACCGTTATATGGGTGCTATACTATATCATTAACATATATAAAGAATTCTCACAAAAAAAAAACCTTGTGTACAATTTCCGTTAAAAAATGTGGCTAAAATCATCAAAATACCGAATATCGAGGGTACCGTTATATGGGGGCTATACGATATCGTGGACCTATATAGATAATTCTCTGCCGAGGTATAAAGTACCCACAAGGAACTCCTTGTGTGGATTTCAGACAATTCCCATGAAAAATGTGGGTAAAATCATCAAAATAATGAATATCGAGGGTTCCGTTATATGGGGGATATACGATATCGTGAACCTGTATAGACAATTCTCTTTCAGGGGTAAAGTACTCACAAGGAACTACTTGTGCGGATTTTAAGACAATTCCATTGAAAAGTGTGGCTAACATCATCAAAATACCGAATATCAAGAGGTACAGTTATATGGGGGATATACGATATCGTGGACCTATATAGATAATTCTCTTCCGAGGTATAAAGTACCCATAAGGAATTACTTGTGTGGATTTTAAGACAATTCCATTGAAAAATGTGGCTAACATCATCAAAAGACCGAATATCGGGGGGTACAGTTATATGGGGGATATACGATATCGTGGACCTATATAGACAATTCTTTTTCAGAAGGTAGAATACTCACAAGGGACACCTCTTGTGGAATTTCAGACACTTCCATTGAAAAATATGGCTAAAATCGTCAAAATACCGAATATCGGAGGGTACCGTTATATGGGGGCTATACGATATCGTGGACCTATATAGATAATTTTCTGCCGAGGTATAAAGTACCCACAAGGAACTCCTTGTGTGGATTTACAGACAATTCCGTTAAAAAATGTGGGTAAAGTTATCAAAATACCGAATATCGGGGGTACCGTTATATGGGGGAAATACGATATCGTAGACCTATTTAGACAATTCTCTCTCAGGGGGTAAAATATTCACAAGGAACTACTTGTGTGAATTTTCAGACAATTCCATTTAAAAAATGTGGCTAACATCTTCAAAATACCGAATATCGGAGGGTACCGTTATATGGGGGCTATACGATATCGTGGACTGATATAGCCCTCCCTATCTTAATTCGTTTAGACTGTAGCGTGATTACAACAGACGGACAGACGTACGGACAGGGCTAAATCGTCTTAGAATTTTACGCTGATCAAGAATATATATACTTTGTTGGCTCTGAAATGATTATTTCGATGAGTTACAAACGGAATGACGAACTTAATATACCCTCCATACTATGTATGGTGGAGGGTATAAAAAACTTTTGCTATTTGATTTTTTTAATAACAGGACACTATATATGTACATTTTCTAGTAATTTCCACACTCTCTCTCTCTCCCCCTTCGTTTCACGTCCCAAGTGATATCGACTCACATCCGCAATTACAATTGTCAATATTTATACGATAATTTATTGTTAGCTAGCTCCGTTTGTGTCATGTTTGCACTTAACTGTAACGTTAATCACTCTGTCGTAATTTTGTATTCTCCAGGTACACATCGACATGAACGGCGATGCCGAGGGAAATTATTCGGTAATCTCTTTGCAAAGTGATTCGAATGGCTTGAACAAGGCCAATTCCCTGGCGAAGATGTCCATGCAGCCAGTTGGTTACTTCGTCTTCAATAAACAATCAATCATTCCGGTAAGTGCGTATCCCATGGATGGATGGACGGATGGGGTGTTTCCCACAGCCTACCCAACCAACCAAACAAACATTGCGAAACAATGACAATACATTCGTATATTATTAATTAAGATATTTATGTACATCATCATTTTGTATTCCGTATTTTTCTTTGAAGGAATTTCGTTACGTCAAACCAGATCGTCCCATCCAATGGCTGAAAGGACGTCCACCATTGTGCGAACCGCTGTGCGGTTTCCATGGCGAGCTATGCCCCAAGCGACGACTCGATTGGCGCTATATGACCTCGGGTTCATTTTTCGGATTATTTGTTGTCATTGCTGCCGTATTCCTAATTAAGTAGTGAACATTTTTTTGTTTTGGTTTTGTTTTCGTACTTATTTGTTGATGTTATTGTTCCTCTTCATCTGCTACGTGCTACATGTTCTTCTTGTTCTTACTCTTGCTCATCATCTTCTTCTTCGGTTAATGTGACTGCCTGCCTGCCTATCATGATGGCATGCCTACCAACATGTCTTTCAATCAACATAATTGTCGCATGATTTTCTCGCTCCTCGATGTATGACTTTGTTGTTGGGAACAATTGTTTGAAATTATTTTTAAATTTTGTCCTGGTAATTTATCTCCGTTGCAGGCACTATCGCTACGAGCAGACCCTAGCCGGGCTACTGTGGAAAATCGATATGAAGGATGTAACAATTATCAATATGGAAAATGCAAATGACTACAACAATACACTGAAGAATAAAAATATTGTAAGTAGTGGTGGAGGGGAAATGTCAGAGAGAGGGAGAGAGAGAGTGCCTTCCATTAGCACTTATTTTAATTTATTTTTTTAATTTTTTCTTTTTTAATTATTTTTAAGTACCAAATATGCCGACAAAGTATTTTAACAGGAGGTGATACAAATAAAAAGGCCTTTACAAACATAGGTAAGTTCGCAGAAGTTAAGAAAACAATGAAAAATTAACAAGTAAAAAAAACATTAAGTTCGGCCGGGCCGAACTTTTAATACCCTCCACCTTAGAGTAATGGAAAAATTAGAATTAATTAGGACCCACAAATACCAATTTTTAGACATATTCGTGGGAAAATGTGACAAAAATCATCAAAATACCGAGTATCGGGAGGTACCGCTATATAGGGCTATACAAAAACGTGGACCTATACATACAATGTTTCGCCAACGGAGCTAGAACCTATTATGACCAACTGATTCCAATTTTAAGACAAATCCGCGAAAAAAATAGTGACAAAAACCATAAAAATACCGAATATCGGGATATACCGTTATATGGGGGCTATACCAAAGCGTGGACCTATACATACAATGTTTCGCCACACGAACTAGGACCCATTATGACTCTCAAATACCAATTCTTAGACAAGTCTGTGAAAAAATGTGGCAAAAATCATCAAAATACTAAATATCGGGAGGTACCGTTATATGGGGGCTATACCAAAACGTGGACCTATACATGCAATGTTTCGCCACCGGAGCTAGAACCAAATATGACCAACAAATACTAATTTTTAGACAAATTCATGAAAAAATGCGACAAAAATCATCAAAATACCGAATATCGGGAGGTACCGTTATATGGGGGCTATATCAAAACGAGGACTTATACATGCAATGTTTCGCCACACGAACTAGGACCAATTATGACCTACAAATACCAATTCTCAGACAAATCTGTGAAAAAATGTGGCAAAAATCATCGAAATACCGAATATCGGGAGGTACCGTTATATGGGGACCAGACCAAAATGTGGACCGATATATGTCATTTTCAATACCAATCATCCTAGACACCATACAAATTATTCTGCTAAATTTTTATGCTCTACGTCAAATAATGTGGCCTGTAACGTGATTTCAACAGACAGACGGACAGACGGACAGACGGACATCGTTAAATCGACTTAGAATTTTATGCCGATTATATACATTATGGGGTCTACGACAAATATTTAGACATGTTACAAACATAATGACAAAGTTAATATACCCTCCTTTCCAAGGTGGGGGGTATAAAAATATTTCAATTCATATTTTCGTTTTGTAAGTGTTATGTATTTCTAGAAATTTTTTAATTTGCAAACTTTAATTTGCGAACTAATAGGTTCTAATAAGCATATTCTGGAAAGAATTTACAAGAAACATTAAACATCAGAAATAGAAGTTATTTATATTATTTATATATTTATTATCAGAAATAGAAGTTATTTATATTTATATTATTATTATTCTCCACTAATAAGCAAACGTTGTTTTTATAAAAACAACAAAAGAGGGATTAAGCCTGACCATTAACAAGCCAACACTGTTCTATTAATGAACATAATAATTATACACCAGAACAATAGGTAAATACAAGTTATGTCCGGCTTGACCGAATAACCTTCATCCTGAAGTACCCTATAAAATAAAAGCATTTTTAATAAAAGTATCGGGATTCAAAATTGAACAAGTTAAAATAATTCTGTGGGATATAAGGTTAAATTCTTAAAAAAGACCGAACTTTGGGAGGTTTCGTGTGGTGGTGACTATAGTTAAACGGGCACATACATAGACAACTAGCTGAAGCCAGTGCGCTTCACGTGCCCAAAGCTTTAATACACCCTCCAGAATATTTTCACGGTAATATACAGTCGATTAATACGAGCGGAGAGCGACCATCCGCTGTTATGCCGGCCCACACCATCACCATGGCCGGCGCTTGGGTTCTAGTGGCCAACCGAAGGTGAACATTTTCAGCTGACCTCTTTGGCAAGTAAACAAGATCATTTTGTTTGTTTTCAAACTGCTGGACAACGAATGTTTTCTCATCGAAGAAAACCAAATTCGACAGTTCAGCACTTTCGGCCAAGCGACTCTTTAGCTCTTTTGAGTCTATTTCTTTCTGTCGCGGTGTAAGTTCTTGCACTTTTTGGAATTTCAATGACTTTACCCCGAACTCATTTTTCAATATTTGCTGAATGGAATATTGCGATATGTTCAGCTCACGAGCCATTTTTCGGCCACTACGATGCGAGTTTCGATCAAGTCGCTTCTTTACTTTTCGAACCATTGCTGCTGGGGTTGCTGTTATCCTCCTTCCACTTCCTTGACGTCGGGCTATGCTACCAGTATCACGGTAACGAGCAATGGTACGAGACACAAAAGATTTATTCACATTCCATCACAAATAACTTTTTTCTTTAAAACTTTCACCAAAATGCTTTTATACGCTTGTAAACAATATAATGAGCTGTCACTGGAATATTTTAACAGCTGTCGGACTACTGGCTTAGAAATGGCAGCAGTCTGAAGTTGGTTGCAGTTTTTTTCATCTCACCCTGTATATCTTTATCCGATTTCAAGAATATTATGAATTTCGACACATACGATCGAATTCAACAGAATTAGAAGAAAGTGTGTTAAATTTGATAAAATTTAGACACTAAAAACAGTTTTAATCTTAGTTGTATTGGAATTACACAAAGAAAGAGAGAGAGAGAGAGAGAGAGAGAGAGAGAGAGCCATCATTCCAAGAAATGGGCTAGTCCCCTTCAAAATGTCACTGTATCGTTAAATGTTAATTGTGTTGCTAGAAGAGCCACTACTTACTAACAGTTTTGAAGTCATTGTTGTTGTTGGCTACGCTAAAATTGTATGTGTATGATGAGAAACTTATATATGATGAGAAACTTATATATGAATTATTAAAGGACATCAGTTTTTGGTTAGACATGTTCTTCAAAGTTTTTCTTAGCATTTTTCAATTGTTTTTTACATTTTTTGTAAGTTGGGAATTTATTGAGATTACCACAAGCAGCATAGCATATCCAATGAGATGTCATCAAAATATTCACAAAATAATGACAATGGAAATGCTCACTCATCAAAGCTTTTTGAAAATGGGCGAAACCTTTAAAAAATGTAATAAGAATCAAATTTAAAACGAATGCATTTTAATACGAACGATTCAAGTAAAGGTTATTTAAAAAAAACGGGCTGCTTGTTCAGTTTTGGTGGACTTTAGGAAGATCCATATATAGTTTCCTATGTCGTGGACCAATATTTCGAGGTGTTAGATAATTTTCGGCCCAATCAAGCTTATAATACCCCCAACCCAAATATACAAAATACTATTTTAAAACAAAAATAACTATTTTAAAACACTTTTCATAAATCTTGTCGTCCTCACATCAATTGTTTTTTTTTTTTTCAGAGGAGAAAATTACATAGCCCACTGTGCGGAAAGTAAAAATAGTGCACGCATATGAATCGTACTGCAGGAGAGGACGTTTTAAGAGCTTTCCAAAACGCTATAACTTAGCCAAATCGATAGTGGAAAATTGTACTTTTAAGATATATATATATATATATATATATATATATATATATATATATATATATATATATATATATATATATATATATATATATATATATATATATATATATATATATATATATATATATATATACATATATCTTAAAAGTACAATTTTCCACTACCGATTTGGCTAAGTTATAGCGTTTTGGAAAGCTCTTAGAACGTCCTCTCCTGCAGTACGATTCATATGCGTGCACTATCAGCGTAAAATTCTAAGTCGATTTAGCGATGTCCGTCTGTCTGGCTGTCTGTCTGTCTGTCCACGTCTTCGTATAGCTCCCATATAACGGTACCTCCCTATATTCGGAATTTTGATGATTTTAGCGACATCATTTAACGGTGTTGTTTCAAATTACGTATTTGGAGTTCGTTATGAGAACTACAATCTGTGACAGAAAATTGTCTATGCAGGTCCAGGTCTTCGTATATGCCCCATATATCAGTAGCTCCCTATATTCGGTATTTTGACGATTTTAGGTACAATACCCATCGAAATTGTTTGAGATGTGGTATTTGAAGTTCGTAATGGATGCTACAGCCTGTGACAGATAATTGTCTATGCATTTGCAGGTCTTCGCACAGCTCCGATATAACGGTACCTCCCTGTAATTTTGGTACTTCCCGATATTTTGACGATTTTAGCTACATTATTCAAGTTTCGAATTTGAATATGGTAAAGGCTTATGACAAACAATACCTATGTAGGTCCACGTCGTATAGACCCCAATAGATGGCTATATTTGATATTTTTAAAATTTTAACAGAATTTTTTAAGAATTTTATTTTTTGAAAATTTCCAAATTCGTTCCAAATGGTGGAGGGTATTCAAAGTTCGGCCCGGCCGAACTTACTGCTTTTTAACTTGTTAATTTTATTATTTGCCGCATATTTCTAATACACTGTTATACAACAGAAAGTGTGTCAAGGCTAAGCGTTGTCTTCGCTAATTAAAATCGTTTTTATACCCTCCACCACACATTGTATGGAAGGTATATTAAGTTCGTAGACCCAACAAGATATATATATTTTTGATCAACGTGAAATTCTAAGACAATTTAGTGATTTTGATTTAAACATATTACGGTACCTCCCTATATTCGGTATTTTGATGATTTTAGCTACATTTTCAATGGAATTGTCTAAAAATCCATACTAGAAGTTCTTTCTAAGCACTTTACCCCTGGAAGAGAAATGTCTATATAGGTCCACGATATCGTATAGCCCACATAGCACGGTACCTCCCAATATTCGGTATTTTGACGATTTTAGGGTACAATGGTACAATAAGGAGGTAGAACAGCTTCGTAAAACTACAGAAATACAGCCCTGACGCTATGTCCGCTTCCTGTCAGACTAATTCAAAATGATATACAACAAATTGTTTTAATTTTTTTTTTCATATTTTTCCTCACTTTTTAAGTGAGTTATATAGAGCGAAAAATGAATGAAATGCCTGGATTTTCTCTCAAAAATATGATCGAAACTGTTCAATCTTTCAATTTCATGGCTAAACTGGTTAATAGCTTCAATGCTAGAGCCGCAATATACGTGTCTTCCAAATTGGTTTTGAAAATATTTTGTTTTCATTTTTCAAAATAATAAATACATACATAAAATTGACAGAACTCGGGCACACATAGAAAAAAATTGTAATCAGCTGGTAGCTCTAACTTACCTTTTTATTGTACCATGCTGCATCCTATGATAAAATATTGCTAATGTAGGCCCACGTCTTCGTATAGCCTCCATATAACGGTACCTCCCAATATTCGGCATTTTGATGATTTTAGCGTCATTATTCACCGTAAGCTGTAATTTGACGATTCAGGTCAGGTCAATTGGATATGATCTACATAAAGATTTCAACGTCTCCATATGTAAACCTTAGAAACCAACAGTGACCTCTACATAAAATTACAGCTCTATCCCTACAAATATTTATTTGTAATATTTCAAATAATATTTTAAAATTGCAACCTTATCTCTTCTCCCAGTAGCAAATTAAGTACCATTTAGAACTTTTCCTACAAATAAAGGACGCATTTCCCAACTACCACCATTATTATTTATCAAATTTCAGAATTTTATCTCTGTCCTTTCACCCAATAACAAATATAGTTCCATTCCGTTCTTTTCGTACAATACACACTGCCAAAATTACATATATATGTCCAGGCAACACATGAATAGCGACCCAAACACAACATTTCAGATTTCATACTAAATTTCAAGTATTTAGCTCCATCCGTTCACATAACACCAAATGGTACCTTTATGGAGTTAAGTAACATTTTGGAACTTTTAATAGCCTAAAAGTTCGAATTTCCAAAAACCCTTTGGTACATCCATACTGCACTTCATCAGTGACTCTCATTTCAAATTTCAGAACTCTAGCCCATGCCGTGTGTCTGATATAAAATGTAAATTAAAATTTACATTTTAGTACTTTTATTACCCTTTTAGTACGAATTTCCAAAAACTCAGACTTATTACACGGCTTCGCACCAAGCCTGACTCTCGTGCAATTTTTAAGATTCTAGCTTAATCCGTTTCGTTTCTTTACTCTTTTTAGAAGGTTATTGATCATATATCGAAAATATATTTCAATTGACAAGCCAGGTTACACTTCCTAATTTGTTACAGAGAATTTGTAGACAACAAATATTTTAACATTCAATTTGTTATCTTCCAGGTTTATATCGTGGCAACATTGTGGCCATGAAAAGAGTTTATAAGAAAACTGTAGATATAACACGTTCCATTCGTAAGGAATTAAAACAAATGCGAGAGGTAAGTCAGAATCACCTGAATTCATCCCCCTCCTCTCAAAAACTTATAAATATATTGCCATTTACAGCTTCGACATGAAAATATTATCAATTTTATTGGAGTCTCCATCGATCATGGAAATGTCATAATTTTCACAACCTATTGCGCCCGTGGCAGCCTCGAAGATGTGCTGGCCAATGAAGATTTGCATTTGGATCACATGTTCATATCGTCGCTGGTCAGTGACATACTGAAGGGTATGATTGCCCTTCACGACTCCGAGATTATCTCGCATGGCAATTTGAGATCGAGCAATTGTCTCATTGACTCCCGATGGGTGTGTCAAATCTCCGATTTTGGTCTACATGAATTCAAATATGGTCAAGAGGAACCCCACAAGTAAGTTGGCATTAAAAAAGTTGTTTCTTTTTTCTCTTGGTTTTTACGTTCACTTTTCATGTCGGTGGCGTGGTTTGTGGTGGCGTGTCATTGTCCGGAAACCAAATAATAGTCTCTAACTATTGACATAATTCAATTGTTGTTTTCTGTTTGCTGGAACTTTCAATGGCCTGCTGCCACATTTTCACAAAATGTTACTGGCCATGTTAGTGGTTGGTGGCTGGTAGTGAAGTTGGCTTGTTGGCTTTTCAAGTAACACAAATTGACATTACCGAAAGGAAACAGCTTTCGAAACATTGAAGCATTTACTAGCAAAAGTTATTTGTTGTTGTTGTTGTTGTTTCTTGCTTCTTCCCACGTTAATGGTCATTTTATCTGTTTTATTGTTGTTGCTGCTGTCGTTAACAGAAGAGACTTGGAATTAAAACGTGCCTTGTGGAAAGCTCCTGAACTCTTAAGAGATCCATCGCCACCAGCTCGTGGCACCCAAAAAGGCGATGTCTACGCATTCGGCATTGTCTTATACGAGATTATTGGTCGTAAAGGACCTTGGGGCAGCACAACCTACTCGCATGAGGGTAAGTGATTCCAGTTCAATGATAATAAATTATTATTCTTTTAAAAAATTGTGTAAATTGTCGTATGAGGTCATTGACATTCGGACTACAAATATGAATCAGTGTTAAAAATAAATAATCTCAGACATATGGGAAAGGAAGGAAAATGAACATAAAAAGATAAGAGATATTTATATTTGGATGAGATGTTTGAGTACTGAAATAAATAAATTTATGGGGCTGATAGTCACTGAGGTCATTTTAGCATTTTTATACCCTCCACCATACAATGGAGGGTATATTAAGGTCTATAAGGGTATAAGTCGTAAAATTCTAAGTCGATTCATGGTACATACAGGATGATATAAAAAACTGCCACCAACTTCAGACTGCTGCCATTTCTAAGCCACTCGTCCGACAGCTGTTAAAATTATTCCAGTGACAGCTCATTATATTGTTTACAAGCGTACAAAATCATTTTGGTGAGAATTTTCCAGAAAAAAAGTTTTTCGGAAAACCACAAGTGGCTATCGTTAGAGCACTCCGGCATTTAAATGTTAATAAATCTTTTGTGTCTCGAACCATCGCTCGTTACCGTGATACTGGTAGCGTAGCCCGACGTCAAAGAAGTGGACGGAAGAAAACAGCAACATCAGCAGAAATGGTTCGAAAAGTAAAGAAGCGACTTGATCCAAACCCCGTCGCAGTGGCCGAAAAATGGCTCGTGAGCTTAACATATCGCTATATTCCATTAGGCAAATATTGAAAAATGAGCTCGGGATAAAGCCATTGAAATTCCAAAAAGTGCAAGAACATACACCTCAACAGGAAGAAAAAAGACTCAAAAGAGCTAAAGAGTTGCTTCGCTTGGCCGAAAGTGGTGAACTGTCGAATTTGGTTTTCTCCGATGAGAAAACATTCGTAGTCTAGCAGTTCGTAAACAAACAAAATGATCTTGTTTACTTGCCAAAAAGGTCAGCTAAAAATGTGCACCTTCGTTTGGCCACCAGAACTCAAGCGCCGGCCATGGTAATGATGTGGGACGCCATAACAGCCGATGGTCGCTCTCCGCTCGTAGTAATCGACCGTGGCATGAGAATAAATGCCGAATATAATCGCAAAAATATTCTGGAGGGTGCATTCGTTGTCCAGCAGTTTGTACACACAAACAAAATGATCGTGTTTACTTGCCAAAGAGGTCAGTTAAAAATGTGCACCTTCGTTTGGCCACCAAAACTCAAGCGCCGGCCATGGTGATGGTGTGGGAAGCCATAACAGCCGATGGTCGCTCTCCGCTCGTAATAATCGACCGTGGCATCAGAATAAATGCCGAATATTATCGCGAAAATATTCTGGAAGGTGCATTAAAACCTCGGGCACTCAAACATTTTGGCCGCATACCTTGGACATTCCAACAGACCTCAGCACCATAGCAATCCGCACGCACCACCCAAGAATGGTGACAAAATGAGGTTCCTCGCTTCATTTTCAGCGCACAATTGCCATCAACATCTCCGGATACCAATCCTTTGGACTATTGTGTCTGGAGTATTTTGGAAAGCAAGGTTGGCACTAAAGAATACAGAAGTGTCGATCACCTCAAGCAAGCGCTTCGCGGGGAATGGGCCAAAATACCGTAGAGCAACATTCGGGCAGCGTGTGACGGTTTCATTGGCCGTTTGAAGGCCATAATTCGTGCCAAATGTGACCAATTCGAGCAAATCTAAACTTATTCTAAAATTTGATGCTGATTCCGACATTTTTTTGCTTTCATTCAATAAAATTAAAAAAAATGTAAAATTATTACATTTGACTTTGTTGCAGCTTTTTTATCTCACCCTGTATATGTAGTATCAGCCCAAATTGAATAGATTTTTTCATATTCAACGGAATTTTAATATTTTGTTTTCAGTATATATCAATTGCTCCAATAAATATTTGTATACCCTCCACCTTGAAAATGAGGGTATATTAGCATTGTCATTCCGTTGGTAACATCCCTCAATATTCGTCGTAGACCTCATAAATGCTAAGTCGTTTTAACGATGTCCGTCTGCCTGTACAATTTATATTGTGTCTTGGATGGTTGGTATTAAAAATGAGATATATCGGTCCACGTTTTGGTATAGCCGCCATATAACGGTACCTCCCGATATTCGGTATTTTGATGATATTTGACACATTTTTTCACGGATCTATCTAAAAATTGGTATTTGTAGGTCATACCGGTTCTAGCTTTAGTGGCGAAACTTTGTATATATAGGTTCACGTTTTTGTATGGCCCCGATATAACGGTACCTCCCGATATTCGGTATCTTAGTGATTTTCGCCACATTTTCCACGAATTAGTCTGGTCTTATTGGAAAAGACATGGAAGTATAAAGATGGAACAAGACAGTCAAAATATGGCAACCATGTGTGTTTTCACAGGGAATGGGCCAAAATATGTTGTTATGATATCGTAACAAGATAGTTAGCAATCTTAAGCGATTTAAACCGCTTATGCAATATGCAATTAATTGGGAAAGTCTACGGAATAGAATTTTGCAATCCAATTTTTGGATTTTTCAAACTTTTATTTGGCATTTACCACAAGGTGGTCAGGGTATTATGTTTTTGTGCATTTGTTTGTAACAGGCAAAAGGAAACGAGATAGACCCATAGTTCCTTTTGATGATCTGCATAGAATCACATTCTGAGTCGATTTATGCATGTCCGTCCGTCCGTCTGTCCGTCTGTCCATGTATTTTTGTAAACAAAATACAGTTCGCATTTATTGCCCTATCCAGATGAAATTTTGCACAAATCATTTGTTTGGCCCAAGGACGAACCCTATTGAAATTGGAGATAATCGGTAGAAATTTAGATATAGCTCCCATATATATCTTCGTCGGATTTGCCTTTTATTTTGCACCAAACGTGTAATATCAGTCCGAATAATATGGAATTTTGCACGTACGATCAGATTGGACCTCAAAATAAGTATGCCAAATTTGATCGAAATCGGTTCAGATATAGCTATAGCTCCCATATATATTGTTCATCCGATTTGTTATTTTTGTCCTCCGCAGCCGTAATATCCACTCTGTAACAACAATATTTGGGGAAATTTAACAAATACAGCTCAGAAATTAAATTTTATCGAGATCGGTTCAGATTTGGATATAGCCCTCATATATAACTTCGTCCGATTTACCTTGGATTGTGCACCAAACGTCTAATATTTGCCCAAATTGGATGAAATTTGGCACTTACGACCGAATTGAGTCTAGAAGCTAGTATGTCAAATTTGCTGAAGATCGGTTCAGATATAGCTATAGCTCCCATATATACTGTTCATCGATTTGTCATATTTGTTACCCTCAGCCGTAATATGCACTCCGTAACAACGATATTCAGGGAAATATATCAAATACAGCTCAGAAATATCTTTGCCAAATTTTATCGAGATCGGTTCCGATTTGGATATAGCTCCCATATATATTTTTATCCGATTTCAAATTAATTGTGCACCAAATGGGCAATACAAGTCCGAATTTAAAAGATACAAATGCTTCGGCGTATTTAGTCCTTTAAATTTTAAATTATAATTATAATCATAGGGTGTATGATTGAATTCTCCCATAAAAACTTTTAATTGTTATGCGCAGCTCAACTAAATTAGCTAAGTGGTGTAGGGTATCGGCCCCGCCCGACTTTAAGACTTTCTTTACTGGTTTTTTCTGTAATTATGTTTCTTATATTAACATGGTCCTGTCATGAGCTGTTATTGTAGACAGTATAGACACAAACCATCTGCTCCGAATGCATTTTGTATAGTCTTTAACATTTTTGGTCTTTCATATTGGGTTCTAGCTCCTGTACCTCCCGATATAAGGTATTTTATTTTGATGATTTTTATCACATTTTCCAAGGGTTTGTCTAAAAATTGGTAGGTTCTAGATCCGTTGGCTGAACATGGTATATATAGGGCCACGTTTTATTATAGCCCCCACATAATGGTACCCCCCTGATATTCGGTATTTTGATGATTTTTGCTACATTTTTTCACGGATTTATCTAAACATTGGTACTTGTACATAGTTCATAATGTTTTCGAGATCCGAGGGCAGTATATTGAAACTTTAGGTCCCCGTTTTCCTATAGCGCACATATCCACCGATACTTGGTATTTTGATAGTCCTAGACACATTTACCCACGAAATTGTTTCAAATTTAGTATTTAAGAAGATTTGGTAGATGAAGTATAAAATTGTCTATGGAGGTTCTCGTTTTGGTATAGCCCTCATCCACTTTATGGTTTTTTGGAGAAGTTTTACAGCGTTATCCAATCGGTCTTACTAGTATTTCTAGTTTAAAGTGGAACATGTTCGAATTCAGATACTTTTATATAAAAAATTTTTCTTTACCCAAAGGTGGAGGGTATTGAAAGTTCGGACCGGCCGAGCTTAATGTTTTTTTGCTTGTTTTTTTTTCAATATTTTTATGTCTACATCTCTATAATCAAATCAATTTTTTTTACTTTCAGAAATTATTGCATATGTGAAGAAACCCGAACTTTTACACCATGGAATATTCCGTCCATCTCTATCACAACTCGATATACCCGAATATGTGCGACAATGTTTACGTTCGTGTTGGGAGGAAGATCCCGAAATGCGGCCCGATATACGCTTGGTTCGAATGAAGTTAAAGGAACTGCAAGCTGGACTGTAAGAATTGAATTTAACTCATTTGGCTAATTTTTAGATTACAGAACTAAATTTTGTTATTTTTTCTAAAAATAGTGGTTAGTGAGGGCCTTTGATTCGATCCAAAGTTTTATAACGAGTGGTTCAATGTAAGGAAGCTCAGTGGAAGCTAGGGTCAACTGAGGGATCCACAAACCATATCTTAAATTTAAATTCGAAAATAAATTTTGAAATCGGTGCCGATTTCATATTACCACATTTTATAATGGTGTTAAATACATTTGTTAGGGGGGTTCCATAAGGAATGTCAAATCTGTATAAAGAAATTCGAAATTGATCCACGTTTAGGCAGTAAATAACCAGTGGTACAGTAACACCTTCGCTAGGGTATTTTCAAGATTTAGTCAACTTTTTATACCCTCCAGCATACGTAGTATTGAAGGCTATATTAAATTCGTGATTCCGTTTGTAACTCATTGATGTAATAATTTTAGACACAACAAAGTATCCACGATATCGTATAGCCCCCATATAACGGTACCCCCCCCCCCCATATTCGGTATTTCGATGATTTTAGCCACATTTTTAAATGGAATTGTCTCAAATTCTACACAAGGCGGTTTTTGTGAGTACTTTACCAACTGGAAGGGAATTGTTTATAAACGTCCACGACATAGCATAGCTCCCGATATTCGGCAGTTGGATGATTTTAGCAACATGTTTACCGCAATTGTTTTAAATTTCGTATTTAAATTTCGTAATGGGTACTACAGGCTATGACAAAACAATTAAAATAGCAGTAAGTTCGACCGGGCCGAACTATGAATACCTTCCACCATTTGGAACCAATTTGGAAATTTAAAAAAAAAAAACAATCGCCAAAAATTCTGTTAAAATCTTAAAAATACCGAATATAGCTGTTATATTGGGGTCTATACGAAGACGTAGACCTGCATGGGCAACTTTCGTCATAAGCCATTACAATATTGAAATACGAAACTTGAAAAAATCCGTGAATAATGTAGCTAAAATAATAAAAATACCGAATATAGGGAGGTGCTGATATATGGGGCTTGTACGAGTCCCTGGACCTGCATAGACAATTTTTTGTCATAGACTGTAGTTCCCATTATGAACTCTAAATAAAAAATTTGAAACAACTCCAGTGAATGATGTCGCTAAAATCATCAAAATAAAATCGCTGAATATTGGGATGTACCACTATATGGAGGCTATACGAAGACGTGGGCCTGCATAAGCAATTTTTTGTCATAGGCTATAGTACCCATTACGAATTCTAGGTACGTAATTTGAAACAACTTCGGTGAATAACGTCCCTAAAATCGCCAAATATCTAATATCTGGGGGTACCGTTGTATGGGGGCTATACGATATCTTGATCCTATACAGATATTTCTCTTCCAGGGAGTAAAGTGCTTGGAAAGAACTTCTAATATGGATTTTTAGACAATTTGATTAAAAAAATGTTGCTAAAATCATCAATATAGCAAATATAGGGAGCTACCGTTATATTGGGAATAAACGATGTCGTGGACCTATATAGACAATAATCTTACAGAGGGTAAAGTACCCATAGAGAACTCCTTGTGCGGATTTTCAAACAACTCCATTGGAAAAGTACTCAGAGAAAAACCCAGTGTGGATTTTCAGACAATTCCATTGGAAAATATGACTAAAATGATCCAAATGCTGAATATCGGGTGGTACCGTTGAAGGGGGACTATACGATATCGTGGACCATAGAAACAATTCTCTTCCAGACGGTGAAGTACTCAAAAAGAACTCCTTATGTGGATTTTCAGACAATTCCATTGGAAAATGTGGCTAAAATGATCAAAATACCGAAAATAGGGTGGTACCGTGCTATGGGGGCTTCGAACTTGACCTGCCTGCAGACAAAAGACTGATCTGTGCAAAATTGTAGCTTCCTATCTTTATTCGTTTTGACTCTAGCGTGATTACAACAGGCGGACAGATGTCTTAGAATTTTACGCTGATCAAGAATATATTTACTTTGCGTAAAGAAATTGTATATGCAGGACAATGTCTTCGTATGGCTTCCATATAACGGTTTTCCTTTGAGCGGTATTTTCGACGGAATTTTTGGAATTTTTTAAAGATGGTGGAGGGTATTAAAAGTCGGCTCGGCTGAACTTAGCTGCTTTTTTTACAGTTTTTTAATAGCACACGATTAGTGAGGACTTTCGATTCGATCCTAACCTTTTAGGCTCAGTGGCAGTCAGGGTCAACTCAAGGATCCAAAAACCATAAGTGGTTAAATTTTAATCGATTACCACATTTCTAATGGAGTTAAATAATTTTTTAGGGGTTTGTCCACATTTGAACAAAGCCCCATTCAATGGGTCCTCCCAATTTCATGATTATTAGCCATCAAAATATGTCTTTTAAAAAAATATTCCTTTACATTTCAAACCACTTTTTAAATAGTGCTATCTCTCATTAGACTGAGCTTAACTACCAGCTAACCTAATTACCTTCTCTACGACCTCAGGGAGTTGAGGTGGTATTCAACCTCAACACTATTACTTTTTTTATGTGGAGAGAAAATCTAAATTTTTTTGGGAAACATTTAATGCCAGCCACAAAAAAAGTTTAGCATTTGAAAAATTTAAAAAAAAGTTTAGCATTTGAAAAAACTCAAATTGTGAAAATGAAATTCATATTATACAATATGTAAATAACACATACATATTTCCACACATATTATATATTTTTAAATTACCGCCAATTTTAAATATTTTTTTTGTTTCCTTTTGTAAAATAGTTAGTTATTATCGGATCATGTAATGTTAGCTTTTTGTGAGTGTGTGTGTAGGAATTAGTGGCTTCCCAGTAAACAATTTTTTCCGACTGCTCTGATTTTAGATTTTTTTCCGAAATTTCTGACGTTTTTTTCAGAAATTTCTGATAGAAATTGGTCCGATTTTCTAAACGTTTTTTTTTAGAATTTCTGCACATTTTCCTGTGTTTTTAAGCGAAAAAAACTCGAAAAATGTACAAACGGAGAGAGTAGATTGTCTATTGCTCTGGCATATTCTCTCCCACATGTAAGCGGATGGTGGTGGTTTGACACATTCTCTCCCATAGTAGTTGTTGTTGTGATCATTCATTTCAAGATCTCAACAACAACAAAGCGCAAAGCAAAAATGCTATTTATTATTGTTATTGTGAACTGTTAGATTTTCCGTTGTAAAAATGTGCGTTTTGTTGTTGTTGTGAATCAGCCTCTTTCTCTTTCGTTCCCAAAAAAATATGATGGAAAAAAATTGCAAAAACCGGTTTTCTGTGTGCACTGCTTTTAATTTTTAGTTCTTGTTTAGCAGTTGAAACAGAAACGTGCTACTGTATGTTATGTTCCTAATAAAAATAATATTTATAATGTAAATGTATTATAGATGTAATATTTAAACTACATTTTTACGAAACCCGAAATAAATTGTTTGTTTTTTAATTGTTTGTTTGTTTTTTTTTTTTTTCATTTTTAAGTGGTGTGACGATTTTTTTGATATTTCTTCCGAATTCTGAACGATTCTTTCAGAAAATCGGAACTTTCTCCCGAATTCTGAGCGTTTTTTTTTCAGAAAATCTGAATTTTATTCCGAATTTTCTTTTGAATTCTGACCGATTTCTTTTAGAAAATCTGAATATTCCGCCGAATTTCCAGACGAATTCTGCCCGATTTCTTTCAGAAATTCGGAGTTGTCCTCCGAATCTTTTCCGAAAATCTAATTTTTTCTCCTATTTTTTCAAGAATTTTCACCGAATTCGGACCGAATTCGTCCAGAAAATCTAATATTTTTTCAGATTTTTTTCAGAAAATCTTTCCGAATTCGGTGACCACGTCCATACAACTTTCGTACCGAAATCGGAAGGAATTCGGAATCAGAATCGGACATTTTTTCAGAGATTCTGACAGAAATCGGACCGAATTCGGCAAAAATTGTTTACTGGGTTTTCACTTTGTAAAGTTACAATTGTGTGCAAAAACATCAACAAAAACCCCAACACACATATACACCTTTGAGTATTTAGCAGAAATGCAATTTTTCAAAATAATATTTAAATGCCAAATGATCCACTACTATTCGCCAGTAGCTCAATTAGTTATTATGTTCACGTCCATGCTTTTGATTTATGTTTATATGCTTTTGATTGGATTCACATGTATTGGCCTTTTCTCCTGCCCTCCCTGTATCTGACAAATCGTTGCATTGCTTTTTTTCGTTTCATTTCATTTCAGAAAACCAAATATTTTTGATAATATGCTGTCAATTATGGAAAAATATGCATACAATTTGGAAGGATTGGTACAGGAGCGCACCACCCAACTATATGAAGAGAAGAAAAAAACCGATATGCTGCTAAATCAAATGCTGCCAAGGTAAGGTTAAAGTTTTCACAAAATTCAACAACTTAGAGTAGGAGAAGTTTCATATTTTAAACAAAATGAATATACCTCGCGCGGAGGGTAGACGTATATTCTCCTCTAGATATACACATAAAATCTTTCGTATTCTTTACACAATCTACCTTTTTAAGAATGTAGATTTTTCAAAACATATTAGTATTCAGCTGCATTTTGAGGTAAAGCCCTGCGAAAGTGCAGCGAAAAACTGATTTGCGTTTTCTGCATGTAATTGAGCAATAGTAAAGTGAACATCGCTAAACAAGTAACATTGACGCTAAGTTCGGCCAGGTCGAGATTGTAATGCCCACCATGAGGAGAAGTTAAATTCAACAAGTAAAAAAACACTAAGTTTGGCCGGGCCAAGCTTTTAATACCCTTCACCTTAGAGTAAAAGAAACATTAGAAGAAATGTGGCAAAAACCATTAAATTACCGAATATCGGGAGGTACCGTTATATGGGGGCTATACCAAAACGTGGACCTATAATTACAATGGTTCGCTACACGAACTAGGACCCATTATGACCCACTAATACCAATTTTTAGACAAATCAGTGAAAAAAAGTGGCAAAAACCATAAAAATACCGAATATCGGGAGGTACCGTTATATGGGGGCTACACCAAAACGTGGACCTATAATTACAATGTTTCGCCACACGAACTAGGACCCATTATGACAAATACCAATTTTTAGACAAATCAGTGAAAAAATGTGGCAAAAACCATAAAAATACCGAATATCGGGATGTACCGTTTTATAGGGGCTATATCAAATCATGGACCCATGCATGCAATGTTTCGCCACCGGAGCTGGAACCCATTATGACCAACAAATACCAATTTTTAGACAAATCCGTGAAAAAATGTGGCATAAATCATCAAAATACCTAATATCGGGAGGTACCGTTATATGGGGACTATACCAGAACGTGGACCGATATATCTCATTTTCAATACCAACCATCCTAGACACAATGCAAATAGCTCCGCTAAATTTTGGTGCTCTACGTCAAATAATGTGGGCTGTATCGTGATTTCAACAGACAGACGGACAGACAGACAGACAGACATCGTTAAATCGACTTAGAATTTTATGCTGATTATGAATATATATACTTTATGGGTTCTACGACGAATATATAAGGATGTTACAAACGGAATGACAAAGTTAATATACCCTCCTTTCCAAGGTGGAGGGTATAAAAATGTTGTTTAGTCCTTCAAAGTACTCTAACCCCTAACATCTATTAATATTAGGAGTGTTCGTTGACCCAATAATTTACCACAATAATTTATGAATGGATGTCGTTTGTTATCGGAAAAGTCCAGTGAAAGAGCAATTTTGAACGTGTTGTCTTTACAGACTCAGTAGTCCCATTTCTCTGAACTTTTTTAAATCGTCGAAAGATCGGTGTAAAACACCATTCATACAATTATTTTCAAATTTTTCTTCATTAACAATTTTGGACAACATTATTTCATCCTTCACCATATATTAGAATATATGTATGGAGGGTATATTAAGTTTGTTATTCCGTTTGTAACGCCTCGAAATATACATTTGAGACCCTGTAAAGTATATATATTCTTGATCAGCATAAAATTCTTTGTCGATTTTACCGTCCGTCTGGGAAAATAACTCTAACTTACGAACAAATTGAAATAGGTTGATACAATTTTACTCAAACGTGTATTTAGCCTGCAGGACTTTTGGAATTAAAAATAAATTGAAATTCCTATATTCGGTATTTTGATGATTTTAGCGACATTATTCACCGAAAGTGTTTCACATTTCGTGTTTGAAATTCCTAATAGGTACTACAGTGCGAGACAGAAAATTGTCTATGCAGGTCCAGGGGTTCGTATGCCCCCCCCTAATATAGGTACCTCCCTATATTCGGTATATTGCTGATTCCAGCGATTTTATTCACCGGAATTGTTTAACATTTCGTATTTGCAATTCGTATTGGGTTCTACTGCATGTGACAGAAAATTGTCTATGCTGGTCCAGGCCATCGTATAGCCCCTAAATATAGGTACCTCCAGATTTTCGGTATTTTGATGATTTTAAATACATTATTTACAGGAATTGTTAAAATTTCGTATGTGCACTTCTTAATGGGTACTACTACTACCGTAACAGAAATTTGCAGGTCCATATATATGGCCCCAAAATAACGGTAACTCCCTACATAGGGTGAGATAGAAAAACTGCAACAAAGTCAAACGCCATAATTTTTAATTTTTAATTTTGTTGAACAAAAGAAAAAAATTCGGAAATAGCATTAAATTTTAGAATAAGTTTAGATTTGTTCGAATTGGTCACCTTTGGCACGAATTATGGCCTTCAAACGGCCATGAAACCGTCACATGCTGCCCGAATGATGCTCTGCAGTTTTTTGGCCCATTCCCGGCGAAGCACTTGCTTGAGGTGATCGACACTTTGGTATTTTTTAGTGCCATCCTTGCTTTCCAAAATACTCCAGACACAATAGGCCAACGGATTGGTATCCGGAGATTTTGGTGGCCATTGTGCGCTGAAAATAAAGCGAGGAACCTCATTTTGTAACCATTCTTGGGTTGCGCGTGCTGAGTGCGATGATGCTGAGTCCTGTTGGAATGTCCAAGGTCTGCGGCCAAAATGTTTGCGTGCCCAAGGCTTTAATACACCCTCCAGAATATATTCGGGATAATATTCGGCATTTATTCTGATGCCATGGTCGATTAATACTAGGGGATAGCGACCATCGGCTGTTATGGCGGCCCACACCATCACCATGGCCGGCGCTTGAGTTCTGTTGGCCAAGCGAAGGTGCACGTTTTCAGCTGACCTCTTTGGAATGTAAACACGATCATTTCGTTTGTTTACAAACTGATGCACAACAAATGTTTTCTCATCGGAAGCGGAGAAAACCAAATTCGGCAGTTTACCACTTTCAGCCAAGCGAAGCAACTCTTTAGCTCTTTTAAGTCTATTTTCTTTCTGTTGCGGTGTAAATTCTTGCACTTTTTGGAATTTCAATGGCTTTACTCCGAGCTTATTTTTCAATATTTGCCGGATGGAATATTGCGATATGTTCTTATCACGAGGCATTTTTGGCTACTGCGACGCGAGTTTCGACCAAGTCGCTTCTTTACTTTTCGAACCATTTCTGCTGATGTTGCTGAAATGACAGCAGTCTAAAGTTGGTTGCAGTTTTTTCATCTCACCCTGTGTATATCTTTATCCGATATGAAATTTATTGTGCACCAACGGCTAATATCAGCTCAAATGAACTGCATTTTGGCACTTTCGACGGAATTCAGCCCAGAAGCAAGTACTTCAAATTTTGGTAAATATCCGTTCAGATATAGCTTTAGCTCCCATATACATATGTTTCATCCGATTTGGTGTTAAAGTCCCTCACATGCTTAATTTGCACTCCACAACAATGATATTTGATACCGGACATCAAATACAGCTCGAAATTAACTCTGCCAAATTCTATCGAGATCGGTTCAGATTTTTATAGAGCTTCGATATACATCTTCCTTCGATTTGTCCATCATATATGTAATATCAGCTCAAATGGGATAGGTATTTTCATATTTGATACTAGAGGTACAAAATCCTTCGTCAAATTTGTTGAAAATCTATTTAAGCTGGATAAAGTCCCCCAAATTGTGACTACTCTAAAGCCATGATACGCATACTAATAAGGTTCATAGTTGGTATGATCTACTTCACATAAATTCCCAATATAAACTTTTTTTTGTTTCGGGAGCTCAGCTAAATACGCATATTAGTGTAGGGTGTCATGAAGTCGGCTATACCCGACTTTTGACCTTCCCTTACTGCTTTTGTTAAGCAAATGAAGTAGTTCATACTATTATTGCAATAATTGAAATTAATTTTATAATTCGACTTACCGAAGACTTATTTTTTAAAGTATACGAATTACAAAGCTATTCTCGAATTAAAATTAAAACATTTGAACTTATATAATATATATTCAAATTATTTAAGTCTTCGAGCTTTTTAGGAAGAAAAACTGCATTCCAAAGCCTTATGTACCCAAGAAGATAAGAAAAAATTGTATTTATTTTTGTCCAACAAAATGCCTGAAATTGTCCACACATTCATCAATTCATTGTTTTCAGAAATAAATTTTAAACCAGTAAAGAAAGTCTTAAAGTCGGGCGGGGCCGACTTTATGATACCCTACACCACTTTGCTAATTTAGTAGAGCTGTGCATCACAATTAAAATCAATCATAAACGCTATGATTATAATTATAATTTAAAGTTCAAAGGACTAAATATGCCGAAGCATTTGTATCTTTTAAATTCGGAATTGTATTGCCCATTTGGAGCACAATTAATTTGAAATCGGATAAAGATATATATGGGAACTATATCCAAATCTGAACCGATCTCGATAAAATTTGGCAAAGATATTTCCGAGCTGTATTTGATATATTTCCCTGAATATCGTTGTTACGGAGTGCATATTACGGTTGTGGGTAACAAATATAACAAATCGGATGAATAATATATATGGGAGCTATAGCTATATCTGAACCGATCTTCACCAAATTTGACGTACTAGCTTCAAGACTCAATTCGGTCGTAAGTGCCAAATTCCATCCCATTTGGACAAATATTAGACGTTTGGTGCACAATAAAAGGTAAATCGGACGAAGTTATTTATGGGAGCTATATCCAAATCTGAACCGATCTCGATAAAGTTTAGGAAATGTATTTCTGAGCTGTATTTAATATATTTTCCCAAGTATTGTTGTTGCAGAGTGCATATTACGGCTGCGGTGGACAAAAATAACAAATCGGATGAACAATATATATGGGAGCTATAGCTATATCTGAAACGATTTCGATCAAATTTGGCACAAATATTTTCAGGCCTAATTTGGGTGTATATGCAAAATTCCATACAATTCGGGCCGATATTACACGTTTGGTGCACAATAAAAGGCAAATCGAACGAAGATATATATGGGAGTTATATCTAAATTTTGACCGATTATCTCCAATTTCAATAGGGTTCGTCCTTGGGCCAAACAAATGATCTGTGCATAATTTCATCTCGATCGGACAATAAATGCGACCTGTACTTTGTTTACAAAAATACATGGACAGACGGACGGACGGACATGCATAAATCGACTCAGAATGTGATTCTATGCAGATCATCAAAAGGAACTATAGGTCTATCTCGTTTCCTTTTGCCTGTTACTAACAAATGCACAAAGACATAATACCCTGACCACCTTGTGGTGTAGGGTATAAAAAATATTTCCACAACAACACAGTTAGCATTCAACATTTCATTACGTCAACGTCACAAAATTTCATCCTAATGAGCCTTTGCTCTCTGCAACTGACGTTTGAATTTAAATTTCAGATCTGTGGCAGAATCCTTGAAACGAGGCGAACCCGTTGAGGCCGAGTGTTTTGACTGTGTGACAATACTTTTCAGTGACATTGTGGGCTTCACTGAGCTCTGCAGTACCAGCACACCATTCGAGGTGGTGGAGATGTTGAATGATTTATACACGTGTTGCGACTCGATTATATCCAACTATGATGTTTATAAGGTAAGTTGGTCGTTTGATGGTCTGTTTGTTTGTTTTATTGTTGTCTTTTCGTTTTTGGAAATGATAATTACTTGCGGCACAGTGTGGTGATGATAATTGAATAAAAAATAACTATATGTACAAAAGAGTAGTGAAATAACTGACTGATCGAGAATCAACGGCAAGAAGAAACGGCTTGAAATTTTGAAGTGGGGTTTGGAAAATTCGTACTAAAAGGGAATGAAAAATACTAAGACGTACTAAAAATGTAATACCCTTTATTGGACAAATGTAAAAATTTAGACTTATGAAATTCGGAATGAAGGTCACTGATGGAGTGCAGAATAGATGTAGCAAAGAATTTTTGGAAATTCGAATGCTAAGCTTACGAAAAATTCTAAAATGGTACGAAACTTCTAAAATGGTACCTATGGCATTATGTAAACAGATAGAGCTAAAACTTGGAATTTAGAATGAGAATCAAGATTGGAAAATAAGCTTGATATATAAAGGTGGTTTGAAATGAATACCAAGTACGCGAACTGTACTAAATGGTACTAATTTTGAAATATTTCGGTTTAGGGTGAACGTATGAAGCTGGAATTTTGAAATGTTGGAATTGGCGTCCCTGTTGGTGGTAGGTTTGTCATAAAGAGGAAATGTGTAATACAGGGGCACGAAAAGTATTAAATAATACTATACAGGGTGAGATGAAAAAACTGCAACCAATTTCAGACTGCTGTCATTTCTAAGCCACTCGTCCGACAGCAGTTAAAGTTATTCCAGTGACAGCCCATAATATTGTTTACAAGCGTACAAAAGCATTTTGGTAGGAATTTTCCAGAAAAAAAGTTATTCGTGATGGAATTCAAGCGTGATAGTGTGATTTATTTATATTTAACTGGAAAACCACAAGTGGCTATCGCTAGAGCACTCCAGCATTTAAATGTGAATAAATCTTTTGTGTCTCGTACCATCGCTCGTTATAGTGATGCTGGTAGCGTAGCCCGACGCCAAGTTAGTGAACGGAAGAAAACAGCAACATCGGCAGGAATGGTTCGAAAAGTAAAGAAGCGACTTGGTCGAAACCCGCGTCGCAATGGCCGAAAAATGGCTCGTGAGCTGAACACATCGCAATATTCCATTCGGCAAATATTGAAAAATGAGCTCGGGGTAAAGCCATTGAAATTCCAAAAAGTGCAAGAACTTACACCGCAACGGAAAGAAAATATACTCAAAAGAGCTAAAGAGTTGCTTCGCTTGGCCGAAAGTGGTGAACTACCGAATTTGGTTTTCTCCGATGAGTAAACGTTCGTTGTCCAGCAGTTTATAAACAAACAAAATGATCGTGTTTACTTGCCAAAGAGGTCATCTCAAAATGTGAACCTTCGGTTGGCCATCAGAACTCAAGCGCCGGCCATGGTGATGGTGTGGGCCGCCATAACAGCCGATGGTCGCTCTCCGCTCGTATTAATCGGCCGTGGCATCAGAATAAATGCCGAATATTATCGCGAACATATTCTGGAAGGTGTATTAAAGCCTTGGGTACGCAACCATTTTAGCCGCAGACCTTGGACATTCCAACAGTACTCAGCACCATCGCACTCAGCACGAGCCACCCAAGAATGGTTACAAAATGAGGTTCCTCGCTTCATTTCCAGCGCAGAATGACCACCAAAATCTTCGGATACCAATCTGTTGGACTTTTGTGTCTAAAGTATTTTGGAAAGCAAAGCCGGCACTAAAAAATACCACAGCGTCGATCACCTCAAGCAAGCGCTTCGCCAGGTATGGGCCAAAATACCGCAGAGCAACATTCGGACAGCGTGTATCGGTTTTATTGGCCGTTTGAAGGCCATTATTCGTGTCAAAGGTGACCAATTCGAACAAATCTAAACTTATTCTAAAATTTGATGTTATTTCCGACATTTTTTTGCTATCATTCAATAAAATTAAAAAAAATGTAAAAATTATGGCGTTTGACTTTGTTGCAGTTTTTTTTATCTCACCGTGTATTTGGTATAATTTGGTATTGGGTGAACAGATTGTGCTTCAAACTTGAAATTTGGTATTAGGATCGTTGTTCATGTGTAGCATGGACATATAGAAGTGCTCTCAGAAATGTGTGCTATAATTGTACCTAAAGTACTGAATGGTACTAAATTTGGTGTTGGGTGAAAGGATAAAAATAATATTCAGAAATTTGACATTTACATTACTTATGGTTTCTGTGTTTGTGATTTTGCTGTGGTTTGGAAATGTGTCTTTTATCGTACGAAAGAACTGAATGGTAGTAAATTTGGTATTGGTTAAAGGGATACAAATAGTGCTATATTTGGTACAATTTGGTATTGGGTAAAGGGATAGAAATAAAATTCTGAAAATTGATATTTAGATTGCTGATGGTCTGTGGGAGATGGATGTCTGTTTGAGATTTATAGATGGAAATACTTACTATATTTATACGAATGGTACTAAATTTGGTATTGGGTGAAGGGATCCTCAAATTTAATATTTAGATTGCTGATGGTGTCTGTTTTTTTATATTTAAAGGTGGTTTGGAAATGGGTCCTGTATTTATACGTAAGTAATAAATGGTACTAAATGTTTTATTGGATGAAGGGGTAAGACTTGAATCCTCTATTTTGATATCGAGGTCCCTGTTGGTATCAGGAATTAAGATATACCTCTATATCTTTTGTTTTGGAAATGTTTACAAGAATTATACGAAAAGTACTAAGCAGTACTAAAGTAGGTGTTGGGTAAAGGGATATAACTGAAACCGTGAAATTTGATACCAAGATGCCTGTTGGTGTCTGGGATTTAGGTGTAGAGGTGGTTTTGCAAATGCGTACTATAATTGTACGAAAAGTACTAAATAGTACTTAATTTGGAAGTCTAGCATCGATCAGTCAGTCAAAAAAGTGGAATGTTCGATCCGAGATTCCGGACAATATCGGATTATTTTTTTTTTCGAAGATAGGGAAATATTTTGTTACTCTTTCAGAAATTTAGAAAGTTGTCGAATGTGTGATCCGAAGTTCGTAAACACGCAGATATTTGGTTTGGATAAAAGATTAAAAAATCCGAAAACTTGTCAAATGGTTGATGTGGAATTGGAAATGTATGATTTGTTCGGAAATAGCAAGGTATTTGGCTATTCCTTCAAATATTCGGATATAGAAAATAATTCGATTACACTTTTATCCATTCGGAAAATTATCGAATGTTAAATCCGTAAACAGGAATATATTCGGTAACTCGGAAAATGCTCAGAAAATTTATAAAATCTTCGAAAAAATAATATAAAGATTTTTTCCAAAAAAAAAACAAATATTTTCGAAAATAAAGTAGTGATCCCCCACTGTGCCACACATAATAAGCTATTTCAACTCATACATAATTAATTTTCCCGGAGAGTACGTGGGTATGCGTGCGTGGCACTTACTTTATGAACACGCCAGTAACTCTTTTAGTTTCACCCGTTACTTTTTTTTGTTGTTCTTGTTATTTCAGGTGGAAACAATCGGTGATGCGTACATGGTGGTGTCGGGACTGCCTTTGAGAAATGGCAAACGTCATGTGGGCGAAATTGCGTCGTTAGCTTTACACCTCCTGCAAAGTGTGGCAAATTTGAAAATTCCCCATAAGCCCAATGAAACGTTACAGCTACGAATTGGAGTGCATTCGGGACCGTGTGCAGCTGGTGTTGTCGGTTTAAAGGTCGGTACCCCATTTGCGCCATTAATTTGCCACCCGAGATGCTGGATGCTTTGCTCCGCACACACATTATTAAATGAATGTTTTATGTAGACATTTTCTATTGTTTTTCCTTCATACCCACTAATTTTTCATTCATTTTCCATTCATTTTCTTTTTGACAGATGCCACGTTATTGTCTTTTTGGTGATACGGTTAATACAGCATCACGGATGGAGAGTTCCGGTGAGGCAATGAAAATTCACATATCCGAGGAAACGTATCGTTTATTGGAAAATGTCGGTGGCTATCATTGTGTGGAGCGAGGACTTATTAACATCAAGGTAAGATAGACGAATACAGTTTAAGAATGTATCAGAATATATGGGTGTGTGTGTGTGTGTGCGTACGTTCAGTAAGTGTGTAGGCCCACATTGCCTTGCGTCTTAACAAAGTCATGTTCTGCTTGAAATGGTCATAGTTGGTTATTAAAGGTCATTATTATTGTTGCTGTTGTTTTTAGCCTTTCCAGGATTTCATCCAATCATTGATGAATCCTTCATTCTGCAACCCAACAACAACCGGCAAAAAGCCAAAATGATAGCCTCATTAAATTCGATTGTTATCATCCTACCTTACTTATCCTAATACCAATTCCAAGTACTAATGTTGTTATTTTTCAATATCAATGAAATGAAAATTCCTGGAAATTCATAACAAGATTTGGCTTTCCAATATAAAAAGAATAAATTTTTTTGACATTTTCTTAATTCGGTTGGAATATTAAAAAAAAAAAAAACGCCAAAGGAATGTTCAGCTAAGTGTGGCTAATGTTTCGCTAAAGGATTTTTTTGGTTGATATTATAATTTTAAAGAGTGGAAGTAAGAGGGAAACCAAAAAAAAGAGCAGGAGAGTTAAGAGTTTATGTGTTCTGATCTATTTTCACAAGTATTATTGAAAAGCAAGAACTTAAAACCACAGACACCAACGGTGACATCAATATCAAATTTGAGGATTTCAGCCCTTTCCCTTCACCCAATACCAAATGTAGAACTTTTCGTACAATTACAATTACAGCAAAAGTGACATCCACATCAAAGTTCTGCTCTATTATTTCACCCAATACAAAATTAAGTACTATTTAGTACTTTTCGAACAATTCTGGTACATACTGCCCAAACCCATTTCCATATCTTAACGAAAACTCTTTTCCTCAATCATAGATACCAACAGAGACTTCCATATCAAATTTCAATACCAAATTTAGTACTATTTAGTACTTTCCGTACAATTATAGAACACCTTCATATCTCAATTTCAGATACTAACAGAGACCTAAATATTAAATTTCGAGATTTCAGCTTTGTTCCTGCACCCAATACCAAATTTGGTACTATTTAGTACTTTTGGCACAAATATAGGACGTATTCCCAAATCTCATAGACAGATATTATTAGTAATGTAAAAATCAAATTTCAGAATTTTATCTATACTCATTCTCCCAATACCAAATGTAGTACCATTCAGTACTTTTCGTACAATTGTGGTATATATTTCTGAAACCACCTCCATATGTCCAGGCTACACATGAACAGCCACCTTAATACAAAATTTCAGATTTCAAAACTATCGGTTCACCCAATACCTAATTGTACCAAATAAAGTACCATTTAGTGCTTTTCGTGCAGTTTTAGTACACATTTCCAAAACCACCACCACATCTCAATTCAAGATCAAACAGGCCCCTTCTTCTCTTCACCCAATGCCCAATTTAGTATCATTTCGTACAATTAAAGTACACATTTGCGAAACCGCCTCCATATGTCCAGCTACACATGAACAACGACCCTAATACCAAATTTCAGATTACAAGCACTATCTTTTCACCCAACACCAAATTGTACCAAATTAAGTACTAGTTAGTACTTTTCGAACAATTATAGTACATATTCCCAAAACCACTTCCATATCTTAACTGCGGCACCATTTGTGACATCTATATCAAATTTCAGGATTTCAGTTCTATTCCTTCACCCAGTACCAAAGTTAGTACTATTTAGTAAATTTCGTACAATTTTAGTATACATTTCCAAAACCACCTTCATATCTCAATTCCAGATGAAAACAGAGCACATGAGACATAAATATCAAATTTCAGAACTGTATATCTCTTCCTTCGTCCAATACCAAATATAGTACAATTCAATACTTTTGGGAAAATTATGGTACACATTTCCCAAACCACCTTCATATGACCAGGCTACACATGAACCGCGACCCAAATACCAAATTTCAAGCACTATCTGTTCACCCAACACCAAATTGTACCAAATATAGTACTATTTAGTACTTTTCGTGAACTTGTAGTACACATTTTGAAAATCACCTCCATATCTCAATTCCAGATATCAACGAAGACCTCAATATCAAATTTCAGGATCCCAGCTCTATCCCTTCACCCAATACCAAATATAGTACCACTCAGTATTTTTCGTACAATTCTAGTACACATTTCCAAAAACACCTCCATATACCTAGGCTACCAATAAACAGCGACCCTAATACCAAATTTCAGATTTCAAGCACTATCTATTCACCCAACACCAAATTGTACCTAATATAGTACTATTTAGTACTTTTCGTACGACTATAGTACACATTTTTAAGCCCACTTCTTTATCACAAACCTACCATCAACAGGGACGCCAATACAAAATTGCAAAGCTCTAGCTTCAATCGTTCACCCAAAACTAAGCTGTTCCAAATTTAGTACTATTTGGTACAGTTCGTGCACTTAGTACACATTTCCTTAACCACCTTCATGTATCAAACTTATTTTCCAACCTTGATTCTTATACCAAAGATTAAGTTTTTAGCTCAGATATTCAGTATTTTTTGAGGGATTCAAAATCATGTTATATATAACAGTATTAGCATTTAAGCTTGTTAGCAATCAACAAATGTCTAATAAAAATTTGGAGGATATTAAAAGTTTATCTCAGCTGAACTCTAGGCCTTTTTACTTATTATGTGGGACGATTTTCTCCTTAAAATTTATGTTCACACTTAATCTGATTTTCCTTCAAATGACCAACCTATACACATAGAGGAAATTCTAAATAAATCTTAAAAATAACTCATTCGCTTAAATTTTTATTTCAGGGCAAAGGTGACATGCGCACCTATTGGCTGCTCAACAAATTGGAAGAACATCATTCGCAAGTTCCTGCCTTAACGTGCAACGATGCCACACCGGATCTGATAAGTAACGTTGATCCCGACAGCAGTACAACGAATAGTACAAATACCCTACATCCGATGTTCCACAATTCACACTATATGAAACACCTACCCTACGGGCTGTCAATGAACCCGCAACAACAACAACAGCCGCAACGACTGCGTTATGTGAAAAATTCCTATTGTAATTGTGCCACCAAATGCATCTACAACCGTCGTTCGGATGACAATGTCAACGCTGCCGAACTGCCGACCATTGCCCGCAAGAATCACGAGAATGTCTGTAACAACACCCACCTGTGTGTGTGTCGCCTTAATAGCAGTATTCTGCACACGACCAATAACCAAAGGGGACCACGTTCGGCGCCCGTTATTACATTTCGTTTGTGAAGTAAATCTCAACTTGCATTACGACCTACTACTACTACTACTCCGACCACTACTACTACTACTACTCGACAACAAATACCAGTTATATTTTATCTTGTTCTAGTCCAATCTATCGGAGACTATCCCAGCTGTTGTACATGCATATGTATAAGTCATTGTAATCTATGTCTATGTGTCTGTGTCATTTTGTTCCATTACATCTGTCTGTCTTTCGATCTGTGCAAGTCAATAAGTCTGTGACGGGATTACAGATACTTGGAATGTGATATGTTGCAATCAATGTTTGTGGATGAGTTTGTGTGTGTGTGTGGATAAGAGTAAAATGAGATTGGAAGGAATTTATAAGGAGCGGGTTGTAAATGAGTAAAAGGAGAATGTAATCGATGTAAGGAGGGTAAAGAATGTGTAGGAATGTCATGTATTTAAAGAAGAACTTCATATTATCTCCTCCAAAGGCGTTTTGAGTGTAGAAAATCTCCAGGGGTCTTCTGAGTGAAAAAATACCTTCTGGAGGTTTTCTCGAAATCGAAAACCTTCCGGAGGACTTCTAAAAACAGAAGACCTGGATGTGTATAGAGGACCTCCAGAACGTATTTTGTATAGAAAAGAGATTTTCTGAGACCTCCAAAAGGACTATATATATATATATATGGGTCCTCTGTATACAGAAGACAACTACAAGGTCTTCTGTTTATAGAAGACCCACAGAAGATCAAAAATACCTTTTGAGGTTCTTCTGTGTATAGATGACCTCTAGAAGGTATAAAAGACCACCAAAAGGTCTTCTGCATATAAAAGACCACAAGGTATTTTCTCTATAGAAGACCTCTTGAGGTCTTCTGCATATAGAAGTTCTCCAGACACAGAACGTCCTCTGTGTCTTCTCTGTATAGAAAACCTCTAGAGGTCTTCTGCATATAGAAGTCCTACAGAAGGTCCTCTGTGTATAAAAGACCGCCACAACGTCCTCTGTGTATAGAAGACCTCCAAAAGGTCTTCTGTTTATAAAAGACCTCCAAAAGTTTTTCTGTGTATAGAAGACGCCCAAAGATCTTTTGAGTCAAAAAGACTTTCAGAAGGTTTTCCGTGTATAGAAGACCTCCAGAAGGCCTCTGCGCATAAAAAATCTCCGGAAGGTCTTCTGTTTATAGAATTTTTTTTTTTTTTTTGAATCAAAAAAACTTCCAGAAAGTTTTCCCTGTATAAAAGACCTCCAGAAGATCTTCTCTATATATAAAAGACTTCCTGAAGTTGTTTTGTATATAGAATACCTTCTGAAGTTCTTTTGTGCATAGAAAACCTCCAAAGAGTTTTCTGTGTTTAATGACCTCTAGAGGATCCCCTGTGCACAGTAGACTGCCAAAAGTTTTTCCATGTATAAATAACCTCCTCAAGGTCTTCTCATTATAGAAAACCGGCAAAAGGTCTTCTACGTCTAGAAGACCTCTAGAAGATTTTCTAGCTGTACAAGACTATCTGATAGCCTCCTATTAATATTCTCCCCTCGCTATATCATTTAAATATTGCAATCCGATTACTTAATCGTTCATGCCAATAAGTATGAGTGTCACTGAAAATCGTTTTAAGGTACTATTAACTCATTCACTTTAAATCGTCGAAGAGAACTAAGTATCGAATTAGCATAATATTTATTGGCAATCATGCATAGTAATTGTGCAAATAAATAAAACCCTAAGGGGTCCCAATCACTGTAGCATATCACTCCGAACTGTAATCTACCTGTTACAGCAACAATGATAACAACAGCAAAAACAAAAATCTATCCCTAATATGTCAACCATACATTTCAAATTCTTATTAATGTCCTTGTTTTCTGTATGTTCTCTATATAAGTCAGTATAAATGTGCGTGTGAGTGTTTTTTTGATGAATGAGCGTGTGAATGTAAATTGTCTACGTGTAATTGTTCATACGTGTGTGTTTAAGTTTTTTGTTTTGTATTTTGTGTCTGTGTGCGTGTCCTTTAAAAAATAAAAAAATTGTCTTTTTGAAATCGTCCTGTATGTCTAGATTTAAGAATATATAAATAAAAAACAAAACGTATGTACATGGGTGTGAATCTGTGGGTGATGAGTCAATAAAAAAATGTGTGAGAGAGAGGGAGAGTGGGCGTGTGATTGTGTGCGTTTTGAACGATTTAAATATGGTTGTGATATTTAATGTTCAAATTAACTGTTATGTTTTGTTGCTTTTAACACAATTATTTTTACATCAATAGATAGAAATCAACAACAAGCGATGAGAACAAATAAAACGAAATAAATTAAAAAGATCTCGACGACAGTATCAAGCTATACAATACCATACACCACTACTACAAAAAAGAAAAAAAAATAAGCGAGGCATGAAAACATTTAAACACAATTTAATGACAAGATTATTTTATAGTTTAAAGTTAAATTAGGGAATTTTTTTTTTAATTTGATAAAAATAATAATAAAATAAAATGCGTACATATGAGATTTTCCCTATGAGGAGGCGACTGATTATTTTGCTTTATCTATGCAAAATATATATTCAATTTTCATCTATTAGTGAAAATAACTTGTTCATTCGAAATATACAGACATTATATTGTTTATAGGAATTTTCAAAATTCTATTCCAAATTAACATGTTTTTGCAAAATTACCTGCAATTAAAACATGTCGCTAAAGACATCGATAAAACATAAAAAAATATCTTAAAAAGAAATCTCGCGGGAAATTCTCTTCTTCGGGAGTTGCGATGTACGCTTGCTAACTTACTTAACTCTGATAATCAGACATAGGGGTTAACCCTTACAGCGGGACTATATCAAAAAGTGGACAATTATTTCTAAAGTTATTAATAAAAGCTGTATTTTAAATGTTGCGAAATATGTCCAAAGTCTATGTAAAGGCTTCCAAAGAATTTCCCTGAGAATACTTCCAAATCCATATGGAATTTTCCACAAGTCCGACTGTTTATTGGAAAGTGAAACTATGAGAAAAATTGCAGTAAATTCTGAAAAAGTGCTAAATTTGTTGAAAATCAGCATATGCCGATTTAACGATGACCGACCATCATTCTGTCTGTGAAAATCACTCTAGCTTCCAAACGAATTGAAGTAGGTTGATGACATTTTACAAAGATTTCTGTTTGTTCTGCCAGACTTTTGGTATTGAAAATTGACTATATTGGTTCACGTTATGGTATAGCCCCCATATTACGTTACCTCCCTATATTCGGTATTTCGATGATTTTAGCGACATTATTTGCCGAAATTGTTTAAAAAATCGTGTTATAAGTTAGCAATGGGAACTACAGCCAGTGATGGAAAATTGCCTATGCAGGTCCATGGGTTTGTAAAGCCCACATAAAACGGTACCTCCCTATATTCGGTATTTCGATGATTTTAGCGACATTATTCATGTAGCCTCCATATAACGGTACCTTTGCAAACCCGGTATTTTATGATTTTAACGCCATTATTCATCGAAATTGTTTCAAATTTCGTATTTAAAGTTCGTAATAGGTACTGCAAGCTATAACTGAAATTTGACTATGAAGGTCCACGTCTTCGTATAACCCCATGCAACGGTACTTCCCTATATTCGGTATTTTGATAATTTAAGCGACATTATTCACGGAAATTGTTGCAAAACTCGTATTGTAAGTTCGTAATGGGTACTACAGCCTACAACTGAAAATTGTCTATGCTGGCTTACATTCTTGTATAGCCCCCATATGATACCTCCTTTAATTCGGTATTTTGATCATTTAAGCGACATTATTTAGCGGAATTGTTTAAAATTTCTTATTCGAAGTTCCTAATGGGTAGTGCAAGCTATAACATAAAATTGTCTATGCAAGTCCACATTCTTGTACAGCCTCCATATTCAGTATTTTGATGACTTTAGCTACATTATTCATCGAAATTGTTTCAAATTTCAAACTACCTATGCAATTTTTAATATACAACGGTAACTCCCATATTCGGTATGTTTATGATTTTTAATAATATTTCCTAACGTATTTATACCCTACACCACAAGGTGGTCAGGGTATTATGTCTATGTGCATTTGTATGTAACAGGCAAAAGGAAACCAGATAGACCCATAGTTCCTTTTGATGATCTGCATGGAATCACATTCTGGGTTGATTTATGCATGTCCGTCCGTCTGTCCATGTATTTTTCCAGATGAAAATTTTGCACAAATCATTTGTTTGGCCCAAACCCTTTTGAAACTGGAGATAGTCGGTAAAAATTTAGATATAGCTCCCATATATATCTTCGTCCGATTTGCCTTGTATTGTGCACCAAACGTGTAATATCAGCCCGAATAGTATGGAATTTTGCACGTACGATCAGATTGGACTTGAAAATAAGTATGTCAAATTTGATCGAAACCGGTTCAGATATAGCTATAGCTCCCATATATATTGTTCATCCGATTTGTTATTTTTGGCCTCCGCAGCCGTAATATGCACTCTGTAACAACAATATTTGGGGAAATCTATCAAATACAGCTCAGAAATACATTTGCTAAATTTTATCGAGATCGGTTTAGATTTGGATATAGCTCCTATATATAACTTCGTACGATTTACTTTTTATTGTGCACCAAACGTCTAATATTTATCCAAATGGGATGGAATTTGGCACTTACGACCGAATTGAGTCTTGAAGCTAGTATGTCAAATTTGGTGAAGATCGGTTCAGATATAGCTATAGCTCCCATATATACTCTTCATCCGATTCGTCATATTTGTTACCTACAGCCGTAATATGCACTCCGTAACAACGATATTCAGGGAAATATATCAAATACAGCTCAATAAAATCTTTGCCAAATTTTATCGAGTTCGGTTCAGATTTGGATATAGCTCCCATATATATCAAATGGGCAATACAAGTCCGAATTTAAAAGATACGAATGCTTCTTCATATTTAGTCTTTTGAACTTTAAATTATAATTATAATCATAGGGTGTATGATTGAATTATCCCATAAAAACTTTTAATTGTTATGTGGAGCTCTACTAAATTAGCAAAGTGATGTAGGGTATCAAAAGGTCGGCCCCGCCCGACTTTAAGACTTTCTTTACTGGTTTTTTATTTTCAAATTTCTTACAAATGGTGGATGTTATTCAAAATTGAGCCCGGCTTAACTTTCTGCTTTTTCACTTGCACTAGCTGCAATTAAAAATGTCAGGTTCTAACTAGGTAGACTATCGTCTCTATATAGGTAGTATTTGTTATAGCTCCCATGTAATTGTAACTCCTGATTTTTAATATTTTGAAGGTTTCTATACCATATAATGATAGAACCCACCCCCTTCCCTCCTTTAACGAGGTTTTCGGAGGCCCAATTTTTTACAAGTTTTTTTACATATAGTCAAGACCCAAAGTCAAGATAACAAATTATTACTTAATGCTGGTTTAATGTGAAGTTATACACCTAGAAATTACCTAAAAGCGGGACAAACCTTAAAAATGCCTAAAATTGGGCTACACCGAAGTGCAAATTGATTTTATACCCTCCACCTTGGAGATATTAACTTTGTCATTCCGTTTGTAACATATCTAAATATTCGTCGTAGACCCCATAATGTATATATACTCATAATCAGCATAAAATTCTACGTCGATTTGACGATGTCCGTCTGTCTGTTGAAATCACTATACAGGGCACATTATTTGACGTAGAGCGTCAAAATTTAGCAGAATAATTTGTATTGTGTCTATGATGGTTGGTATTGAAAATGACATATATCGGTCCACGTTTTGGTATAGTCCCCATATAACGGTACCTCCCGATATTCGGTATTTTGATGATTTTTGCCACATTTTTTTCACGGATTTGTCTGAGAATTGGAATTTTTAGGTCATAATGGGTCCTAGTTCGTGTGGCGAAACATTGAATGTATAAGGCCACGTTTTGGCATAGTCCCCATATAACGGTACCTCCCGATATTCCGTATTTTGATGATTTTTGACACATTTTTTCACGGATTTGTCTGAGAATTGGTATTTGTAGTTCGTAATGGGATCCAGATCCGTTGGCGGAACATTGTAAATATAGGTACTCCCGATATTCGGTATTTTGATCGTTTTAGTCACAATTTTTCCACGGATTTGTCTGATAATTGGCATTTGTATTTCGTAATGGGTTCCAGGTCTGGTGGCGGAACATTGTGCATATAGGTAAATTTGGTATTTAAAAAGATTTGGTAGATATCAATCCTTAAAGTATAAAATTCCCGTTTTGTTATGGCCCCTTTATGACGGACTCACCCACTTTATGGTTTTTTGAAAAGTTTAACAGCATTATCCAAACGGCCTTACTGGCATTTGTAGTTTATAGTGGTACACGTTTGAATTCAGATGTTTTTTATATAAAAATGTTGTCTTTACCCATTGGTGGAGGGTATTAAAAGTTCGGCCCAGCAATAAACAAACATCGTGGAATTTTCAAGAATATTCTTTCATGTTTTTTTAAATAATATTTTTTTCAGGGACCAACAGACCACGAAAGTGTTTTTCAAAAGAATATTTTTCAAGGATATTCACTTAATTTGAAATTTAGAATACACAGATGTGGTGCGACCTAATTATTTTTTGGATTGTGGTGATTTAATTACAAATTGAGTTATTAAAATATATCCTCTAACAAAGTAGATATCAGTGAATAATTATTTTTACAATTATACAAATCACAACAAAGTGGTGTATGGTATTAAAATAGCAACAACAACAACAACAACAAATTATTTCAATATGACCAATTATATTATGCCGTCTGTTAAAGGCGCATCAAAAGGTAAACCAAATATTATTATCATTAAAACAATAATAACGAATATACACAAAAGAAATATGTTATTGTAACAATGTAACTATGGTTATATATTTATGTAACATTAACAATTAGTTATTTTATTCGAAATGTATACAAAAGATAAAGATAAAAATCGCAAAAAAAAACCCAAATAATTTACAAAACCAATAACTAAAATTATTAGAAATTAGAAACAAAAACACACGAAATTACACAAAAGAAACGCCAAAAATAATAAAAATAAATAAATCGAACATTTTAAAACAAACTGTGAAGAGCTCATTGTTCTTGTGGGGGTTTTATTTAACAATTTACATAATCTGCACACACACACGCACAAAGAAAGAAACATTTATTTATTTATTTATTTATACATTGCAGCGCACCGCGACCTAATAATTTATTCCAATTTAAAATTGTTTTTCAATGCCTGCCAGCATTCATAATATTTGGCATCCAATTTTTGACATGTCTCCTCGCCCCACTTTGTCACAGCCATGCTCAGCGACGACTCGAACATGAAGGCCTGCAACAAAAACAAAAAAAAAAAACAAAATTTAAAAGAAATTGTTGCAACCAAAACAAAAAAACAACAAAATTTAAAAGAAATTGCTTATAATTTAAATGCTTGTTGACTCACTTGAGTTCCTTCGGCCACACGTTCGGGCGCCAGTTTAGCATTTGAGGCACCCTCAAAGCATTTGGCATCTGGGCCATGGGGTGTCATCATGGAATGTAAGGTAGCGCCACCGGGCATAAATCCTTCTTCTTTGGCTTCATAACGACCCAAAATCAAGCCCATGAATTCGCTCATGCAGTTACCTGGAGGAGGGAGAACATAAGCTTAATCTATCTATATTGATAAAAGAGTAAAGTATATGACTGACTGACAGACTGAATCACTGACTTAACGATTCATCAAAGCCCAAACGTAACGGCTAGAGCTAGAATTTTAAAATTTTGTATATGAGGAAGCAGTAGAACTAGAACTCTTAAATTTGGAATGGGGAACACTGATGTTTGATAGATGTATTGAAGTTTTTTTTTTCTTTTGGAAATTTGCACTATTAGTGTACGAAAAAGTACTAAAATGTACTACATTTGTTACCATTTTGTATCATGTGAAAGGTTAAAGCTAAAAATTTTGAATGAGAATCACAGTTGAGGTGTAGAGTCGATGCATGGAGATAGTTATGGAAGTGTGTACTCATGTATACGAAAAGTACTAAACGGTACTAATACACAATTTGGATTTGGAGGAACGGATGGAGCTGGAATCCTAAAATTTGTAATTAACATTACTGGCGGAGTGTAGGATTGGGATATGGAGGAAGTTTTCGAAATTTATGCGCTTATGTGCACGAAAAGTACTTAATGGTACTAAATTTGGTATAATTTCGATTTGGGTGAACCGTTAGGGCTGGAATTCTGAAATTTAGAAATAAGATTACTATTTCACTGTAGGATTGAGGTATCCAGGAAGTTTTGAAAATTCGTACCTATGTGTACTAAATGGTAGGAAATTTGGTACAATTTATTTTTTTGGAGACCCAATAGAGTTGGAATCTTGACATTTGAAAATAAGGAAGTTTTGGAAATTGAATTGGAAATGGTACTACATTTGGTACAATTTAAATTTTAAGTGAATCGGTAGAGTTGGAATCCTGAAATTTGAAAATAAGATTTCTATTCGACTCTATGAGGTAGGTCGTTATGAAATTTTTTACTTAATTGTACGAAATGGTACTAAATTTGGTACAATTTGGATTTGGGTGAACCAATAAAGCTGGTATCCTGAAAATTGGGAATAAGATTACTGTCGGAGTGTATGATTGGGATATCTAGGTAGGTTTAGAAATTTGTACAGATTATATATATAAATGTACTAAATAAAGTAAAATTTATAATTGAAATTGTGATGAAGAGATGGAACTGGAATTCTGGAATTTGAAATTGGAGTTACTGATGGAGTGCAGGATAGATGCACAAAAGGGTTATTTTGAAATTTAAACTTTAAATTGGGGAACTGTTCTTAAATGTTACTAAACTTCTAAAATAGTACAATTTGGTATTATGTGAACGGAAAATGCTAACAACTTGAATTTTGTGTTGCTTTAAGGTTGGAAAGTAAGTTTGATATATAAAGGTGGTTTTGAAAATGTGTACTAAATGAGGAAACTTTACCAAATGGTACTAAATTTGGAACAGTGACGAAAAGTACAGATAGTGCTTAAAATCTGAATTTTGGTTTTAGGGTCTATGTTTATGTGCAGCCTTAACATATAAACGTGATTGAGAAAATGTGTACTTTAATTGTACGAAAAGCACTAAATGGTACTACATTGGTGAAGGGATAGAGATAAAATTCTGAAATTCAGTATTTAGATTACTGATGGTATCTATGTTTGAAATTTGGCGGTGGTTTGGAAATACGTCCTATATTTGTACGAAAAGTACTAAATGTTACTAAAATTGGTATTTGTTGAAGGGTTTGTATGAATATTACTGTAGGTATTCGTGGTTGAGAGAAGGAGCCGGTTTTCGATATGCGCGCTATAATTGCACTAAATTTTGTAACGGGGGAAATTGCAGAGCAGGAATCCTGAAATGATTAAGATATGGACGTTGTTTTGAAAATATGTACTATAATGGTTCGAAAAGTACTGAATGGTACTAAATTTGGTATTTGGGTGAAGGAATAAAGCTGGAATCCTCAAATTTGATATTGAGGTCTCTGTGGGATCTGGGATTGAGATATGGCTGTGGTTTTGCAAATGCAATTGTACGAAAAGTGGTATATAATACTAAATTTGGTACAATTTGGTATTGGGTGAAATCTTAAAGTTGGTATTAGAGTCGCTGTTTATGTGTAGCCTGCCCAAATGAAGGTGGTTTCGGAAATGGTCATTATAATTGTACGAAAAGTACTATTTGGTATCATATTTGCTATTGGAAGAAGGAATAGATAAAAAAAGGGCCGACTGACCACCAAAAGTGGATTTTTATCGAATATTTTTCAAGGACCAAGAGACCACCAAGCGTTCAGTTTTAAAGAATATTTTTCGAGGACGATGAGATTTACAAACGAGGATTTTTAAAGAAAAATTTCCGAGGACCAAGAGACCACCAAAAGTGGGTTTTTAAAAGATATTTTCTAAGGACCAAGAGACCACCAAACGTGGATTTTTAAAAAATATTTTTTAAGGACCAAACGTTGATTTTTAAAAAATATTTTCTAAGGACCAAACGTGGATTTTTAAAAAATATTTTTTAAGGACCAAACGTGGATTTTTAAAAAATATTTTCTAAGGACCAACGTGGATTTTTAAAAAATATTTTTTAAGGACCAAACGTGGATTTTTAAAAAATATTTCTAAGGACCAAACGTGGATTTTTAAAAAATATTTTTTAAGGACCAAACGTGGATTTTTAAAAAATATTTTCTAAGGACCAAACGTGGATTTTTAAAAAATATTTTTTAAGGACCAAGAGACCACCAAACGTGGATTTTTAAAAAATATTTTCTAAGGACCAAACGTGGATTTTTAAAAAATATTTTCTAAGGACCAAACGTGGATTTTTAAAAAATATTTCTAAGGACCAAACGTGGATTTTAAAAAATATTTTCTAAGGACCAAACGTGGATTTTTAAAAAAAACGTGGATTTTTAAAAAATATTTTCTAAGGACCAAACGTGGATTTTAAAAAATATTTCTAAGGACCAAACGTGGATTTTTAAAAAATATTTCTAAGGACCAAACGTGGATTTTTAAAAAATATTTTCTAAGGACCAAACGTGGATTTTTAAAAAATATTTTCTAAGGACCAAACGTGGATTTTTAAAAAATATTTTCTAAGGACCAAACGTGGATTTTTAAAAAATATTTTCTAAGGACCAAACGTGGATTTTTAAAAATATTTTCTAAGGACCAAACGTGGATTTTTAAAAAATATTTTCTAAGGACCAACGTGGATTTTTAAAAAAATATTTTCTAAGGACCAAACGTGGATTTTTAAAAAATATTTCTAAGGACCAAACGTGGATTTTTAAAAAATATTTTCTAAGGACCAAACGTGGATTTTTAAAAAATATTTTCTAAGGACCAAACGTGGATTTTTAAAAAATATTTTCTAAGGACCAAACGTGGATTTTTAAAAAATATTTTTCTAAGGACCAAACGTGGATTTTTAAAAAATATTTTCTAAGGACCAAACGTGGATTTTTAAAAAATATTTTCTAAGGACCAAACGTGGATTTTAAAAAATATTTTCTAAGGACCAAACGTGGATTTTTAAAAAATATTTTCTAAGGACCAAACGTGGATTTTTAAAAAATATTTTCTAAGGACCAAACGTGGATTTTTAAAAAATATTTTCTAAGGACCAAACGTGGATTTTTAAAAAATATTTTCTAAGGACCAAACGTGGATTTTTAAAAAATATTTTCTAAGGACCAAACGTGGATTTTAAAAAATATTTTCTAAGGACCAAACGTGGATTTTTAAAAATATTTTCTAAGGACCAAACGTGGATTTTTAAAAAATATTTTCTAAGGACCAAACGTGGATTTTTAAAAAATATTTTCTAAGGACCAAACGTGGATTTTTAAAAAATATTTTCTAAGGACCAAACGTGGATTTTTAAAAAATATTTTCTAAGGACCAAACGTGGATTTTTAAAAAATATTTTCTAAGGACCAAACGTGGATTTTTAAAAAATATTTTCTAAGGACCAAACGTGGATTTTAAAAAATATTTTCTAAGGACCAAACGTGGATTTTTAAAAATATTTTCTAAGGACCAAACGTGGATTTTTAAAAAATATTTTCTAAGGACCAAACGTGGATTTTTAAAAATATTTTCTAAGGACCCAAACGTGGATTTTTAAAAATATTTTCTAAGGACCAAACGTGGATTTTTAAAAAATATTTTCTAAGGACCAAACGTGGATTTTTAAAAAATATTTCTAAGGACCAACGTGGATTTTTAAAAAATATTTTCTAAGGACCAAACGTGGATTTTTAAAAAATATTTTTAAGGACCAAGAGACCACAACGTGGATTTTTAAAAAATATTTTCTAAGGACCAAACGTGGATTTTTAAAAAATATTTTCTAAGGACCGAACGTGGATTTTAAAAAATATTTTCTAAGGACCAAACGTGGATTTTTAAAAAATATTTTCTAAGGACCCAAACGTGGATTTTTAAAAAATATTTTCTAAGGACCGAACGTGGATTTTTAAAAATATTTTCTAAGGACCAAACGTGGATTTTTAAAAAATATTTTCTAAGGACCAACGTGGATTTTTAAAAAATATTTTCTAAGGACCGAACGTGGATTTTTAAAAAATATTTTCTAAGGACCAAACGTGGATTTTTAAAAAATATTTTCTAAGGACCAAACGTGGATTTTTAAAAAATATTTTCTAAGGACCAAACGTGGATTTTTAAAAAATATTTTCTAAGGACCAAACGTGGATTTTTAAAAAATATTTTCTAAGGACCAAACGTGGATTTTTAAAAAATATTTTCTAAGGACCAAACGTGGATTTTTAAAAAATATTTTCTAAGGACCAAACGTGGATTTTTAAAAATATTTTCTAAGGACCAAACGTGGATTTTTAAAAATATTTTCTAAGGACCAAACGTGGATTTTTAAAAAATATTTTCTAAGGACCAAACGTGGATTTTTAAAAAATATTTTCTTAGGACCAAACGTGGATTTTTAAAAAATATTTTCTAAGGACCAAACGTGGATTTTAAAAAATATTTTCTAAGGACCAAACGTGGATTTTTAAAAAATATTTTCTAAGGACCAAACGTGGATTTTTAAAAAATATTTTCTAAGGACCAAACGTGGATTTTTAAAAAATATTTTCTAAGGACCAAACGTGGATTTTAAAAAATATTTTCTAAGGACCAAACGTGGATTTTTAAAAATATTTTCTAAGGACCAAACGTGGATTTTTAAAAAATATTTTCTAAGGACCAAACGTGGATTTTTAAAAAATATTTTCTAAGGACCAAACGTGGATTTTTAAAAATATTTTCTAAGGACCAAACGTGGATTTTTAAAAAATATTTTCTAAGGACCAAACGTGGATTTTTAAAAAATATTTTCTAAGGACCAAACGTGGATTTTTAAAAAATATTTTCTAAGGACCAAACGTGGATTTTTAAAAAATATTTTCTAAGGACCAAACGTGGATTTTTAAAAAATATTTTCTAAGGACCAAACGTGGATTTTTAAAAAATATTTTCTAAGGACCAAACGTGGATTTTTAAAAAATATTTTCTAAGGACCAAACGTGGATTTTTAAAAAATATTTTCTAAGGACCAAACGTGGATTTTTAAAAAATATTTTCTAAGGACCAAACGTGGATTTTTAAAAAAATTGTTCAATGGCCAATATACCACCAAACGTGGATTTTTTAATAATATTTTCAAGGACCAAGGGACCAACAAAAGTGGATTTTTAAAACATTTTTTCAAGGGCCAAGAGACCACCAAACGTGGATTTTCAAAGAATTTTTTTCAAGGACCAGCAGACCATGAAAAGTGGATTTTTAAAAGAATATTTTTCAAGGACCGAAAGACCGCCAAACGTGGATTTTTAAATAATATTTTTCAAGGAGCAACAGGCCATCAAACGTGGATTTTTTAATTTAATATTTTTCAAGGACCAACAGGCCATCAAACGTGGATTTTTAAAAGAATATTTTTCAAGGACCAACAGGCCATCAAACGTGGATTTTTAAAAGAATATTTTTCAAGGAACAATAGGACACCAAACGTGGTTTTTTAAAATAATATTTTTCAAGGACCAAAAGTCCACCAAACGTGGATTTTTAAAAGAATATTTTTCAGGGAACAAGAGGACACCAAATGTGGATTTTTAAAAGAATATTTTTCAAGGAACAGGAGGGCACCAAATGTGGATTTTTAAAAGAATATTTTTCAGGGAACAAGAAGACACCATTTTTAAATATTATTTTCAAGGACAAACACAGGAAGTGTAATTGATTTTTTTTTTCTTTTTTTTTGTAATTTTTAAGCATTTCCTATATACTTACGATGATAATATGGTGGTCTAAACGTATGCTCCTGCACAGACCATCTGGGAGGGAATATAACAAAATCAGCAATAGCTGTACCATATCTGGAACTGGGACATGTCAGAACGGTAAATATGCTAGGATCACAATGATCAAAGCTAACCGAATTGATGACATTAAATTTGGACAGATCATATTTGTAGGGTACATAGTTGCCGTGCCAGGCTACAACATCAAAGCAGGAATGATTTTGTTTGGCAACAAACAGATGACCCTGGAATTTGGATACAACGGAGAAATCTATAAAAGAAGAACATTTTTTAGTTGTATAACTGCATAATGCATCATTATGGAACATACCTTTAACTTCACGATCCTCAAACCATGCAACTGGTGTTTGGAAATCTCTGGGATTGGCCAAGCCATTTGCACCAATTGGTCCCAAATCGGGCAAGTGGAAATGATTGTCATAGACTTCCAAAATGTAACCTCTGGAAAATAAAAATGGGAAAAGGAGATTGTTTAAAGAATATTGTCAACATCATTCACAGCTGCAAAGGGGAATTATTTAAGAAAATTTTTAAATATTCGTCACAGCAAAGAAAAACAAGGAAGACTTTTTGGTAAGATTCCAAAAATCTGAATTTTTCAAGATTCATTTTAGTCTCATTAGTCTATAATTATGATCCGACCTGCTTTGGAGGACTCCTTTCAATAATCATAATCCTCAAAAAAACTTACCTTGTTGGCCCCGCTACATTGACTGCAAAACGAATACCCTGTGGAATGACACAAATTTCATTGGGCGCCACTTTCATTTTACCAAATTCCGTGGTAATATCCAAAACACCTTCCTGGGGAACTGTAATGAAAACAACACTCCATTAGAATCATTTGGTCAACAGCACTCAATCCCACTACAACCATCACAACCTACCAATCAAAAAGTCGCCATCACTATTATAGAATGCCATATTTTCCATGGAAACATTGCACATGTAAACGTGCACGGCCAGACCATGGCGACTGCGGGCATCACCAGCACCACACACTGTGTGGAGGCCTTGAACAAAATTCACTTTTTCACCGGCTGCAGGCATATCGAATGGCTTCCAGCGCATCTAAAATTCATTAGAAACACACACACACCCACAAACAAGTTTTTAATTATAAAACAATAAACGGCTGCTCATGACAACATCATATTACCTGATTAGGATTGGGTTTCTGTTCATCCCAGTTGTGGGACAAATATTTACCACCTTCCTTCTCGTACGATTGAAACGGTAGATGTTTGGCACTGGGATTTATGCGATACAGCCAAGTGCGTGCATTTTCTTTGCGCGGTGCTGTAAATGCCGTGCCGGACAATTGTTCAGCATAGAGGCCATAGGGGCATTTTTGTGGTGTATTTTGTCCTTCGGGCAGGGCGTTGGGACATCGGGGATCTTCCGAAGAAAAATGGGAACCAAAGCCGCACATGTACTGCAAGAAATATACAGATTAGAAGACTATTTTTAAAGGAAGAGGCATAGAAGAGGTACCGTTATATCGAGGCAACGACGAACGGACGGACATCACTAAATCGACAAGGAATTTTTTCCTGTTCAAGAATATATGTACTTTGTGAGGTCCACAATGTATATTTCCAGGTGTTACAAACGCAATGCCAAACTTAATATACTCTCCATACCATGGTGGAGGGTATAAAAACAGAAGACAGGTGCATTGGCGTTTTGCAAGTTTACATCGAAAAGTAAGTAAATAACCAATAAAGAAAGTCTTAAAATCGGGCGGGGCCGACTTTATGATACCCTACACCACTTTGCTAATTTAGTAGAGCTCCACATAACAATTAAAAGTTTTTGAGGGAGAATTCAATCATACACCCTATGATTATAATTATTATTTAAAGTTCAAAGGACTAAATATGCCGAAGCATTTGTATCTTTCAAATTCAGATTTGTATTGCCCATTTGGTGCACAATTAATTTGAAATCGGATAAAGATATATATGGAAGCTTTATCCAAATCGGAACCGATCTCGATAAAATTTGGCAAAGATATTTCTGAGCTGTATTTGATATATTTCCCTGAATATCGTTGTTACGGAGTGCATATTACGGCTGTGGGTAACAAATATAACAAATCGGATGAACAGTATATATGGGAGCTATAGCTATATCTGAACCGATCTTCACCAAATTTGACATACTAGCTTCTAGACTCAATTCGGTCGTAAGTGCCCATTTGAGCAAATATTAGACGTTTGGTGCACAATCAAAGGTAAATCGGACGAAGTTATATATGGGAGATATATCCAAACTCGACTCGATAAAATTTAGCAAATGTATTTCTGAGCTGTATTTGATATATTTCTCCAAATATTGTTGTTACAGAGTGCATATTACGGCTGCGGAGGACAAAAATAACAAATCGGATGAACAATATATATGGGAGCTATAGCTCCGATTTCGATCAAATTTGGCATACTTATTTTCAGGTCCAATCTGGTCGTACGTGCAAAATTCCATACTATTCGGACTGATATCACACATTTGGTGCACAATAAAAGGAAAATCGGACGAAGATATATATGGGAGCTATATCTAAATTTTGACCAATTATCTCCAATTTCAATAGGGTTCGTTCTTGATTTGTGCAAAATTTCATCTGGATAGGGCAATAAATGCGAACTGTACTTTGTTTACAAAAATAAATGGACAGACGGTCAGACGGACGGACGGACATGCATAAATCGACTTAAAATGTGATTCTATGCAGATCATCAAAAGGAACTATGGGTCTATCTCGTTGCCTTTTGCCTGTTACAAACAAATGCACAAAGACATAATACCCTGTCCACCTTGTGGTGTAGGGTATAATGACCACCTTGTGGTGTAGGGTATAAAAAGGGGACAATTCCCCCCTCTTCCACACTTCTGGAAATTTTCGGTATCTTAGATATAGTATCTTCGGCAATATTGTTGGTAAAAATACGGGGAATATTTCTTAAATAAGACTAAAAACTGTCTTTAAACGGGATCGTAGCAAGTCAAAGTATTCCACAAAATTATTTACTATCAAATTTTACCATAGGCCCTAGAAGATCTACATCTTTCCTAAACAGCACGAATTTATTAAAATACATTTTAGGGTTAAATCCACACTTTTTGTGAATTTATGCAAAAATCTCCAACAAAGCATTATTCTAAAAGAATGACGTCTTAGACAAAAATGTTTTGCATCAAATTTCACTATAAATCACAGAAGAAAATAAATCTCTTTTTTCACTGTACATTTGCACCAATGTTTTTATACCCTCCACCTTGAAATGAAATATTCAAATATTAAATATTCGTCGTACATGCCATAAATAATGTATATTCATAGTCAGCATAAAATACTAAGTCGATTTAACGATGTCCGCCTGACTGTCTTTAGAAATCGCGATAGAGGATGGTTGGTATTGAAAATGAGATATATCGGTCCACGTTTTGCTATAGCCGCCATATAACGGTATTTGGTATTTTGAAGATTTCGCCAAAACTTTTCACGGATTTATCTAAAAATTGATATTTTGTAGGTCATAGCTCCGGTGTCGGAACATTGTACATATAATTCCACGTTTTCGTATAGACCCCCCCCCCCCCCCCCCCTTCCAATATTCAGTATTTTGATGATTTTACCACATTTTTCACGGATTTGTCTAAAAGTTGGTATTTGTAGTTCGTAATGGGTTCTAGCTCCGGTGGCGGAACATGGTATACATATTCACGTTCTGACATGGTCCACGTTCTGGCATAGCCCCATATAACATCCCGATAGTCGGTGTGTTGATGATTTATGTCATATTGATCCACAGAATTGTCCAACAATTGGTATTTATACCCTACAACACTATGTGTTGGGGGTATTATAAGTTTGATTGGGCCAAAAATTATGTAACACCACGAAATATTGATTTCCCACATAGGAAAGTATATATGGATCTTCCTATCTCGCCGAGCTGAGTCGATCTAGCTATGTATGTCCGTCCGTCCGTCTGTCCATGTTAATTTGTAATCACTCTACAGGTCGCAATTATGGTCCGATCTTCACGAAATTTAGAATGGAGGTGGGGCTAGGGTCAGAATAGAACCCTATTTCTTTTGGAGATGATCGCCAAATGTTTAGGGGTTGAAATGGACCAAATACTGAAAATATGTCGGATTTTGCAGTAGCTATACAGGTCGCAATTATAGACCAATCGACGCGGAATTTCGCATATAGCTAGAGTTTAGGGCGGGGAAGAAGCCTACCAATTTGGGTGGTCATTTTTTGTTGAAAAAATTCAAATTTTTTCATTAAACCGCGAATATTTTTAATCCCGGCGAAATCACAAAGCCATGACAAGGTTACTTCTGATCTTTACATTGATGTTAACATCCAACAAATCGGATATATAGCAAATATATGCGATATATATGTCTATCAAAGAAGATATGCTTGAAAGATCTCATATATGTCGAGAACGGCTGTACTGATTTCGACAGTTCTCATTAATTCAGAATGACCTCTTGGCAGGAAAGGGAAAACGTTTAAAAAACCCATACAAATATCTCTCTAAAGATGAAAATATTGATTTTGTAACATTTTCTCATATTTTTTCCATTTTGTCATATTTTTGGCATATTTTCATTTTGAATTAAACATTTCTACAGCTAACAAAACTAAGTAGTTAGGATATCAGGATATCATATACAGATCGCATTTATGGCCCGATCCTTACGAAATTTTGCATGGGGATAAGATGAGGGTCAGAATAGAAGCCTACTCTTTTTGGAGATGATCGCCATATATTTAGGGGTTGAAATGGACCATAAAACTGAAAAATTATCAGCAGGTCGTAATTATTGCCCGATCCTCACGCACTTTTGAATGGGGGTTACCGGGCATTGCAAAAGCCAAGCAGTTTTGGATGGCCATCCAAAAATATTCAATGTGTGAAATAGTTTGCCAACTTTTGTAGACAAAATACGAAAATGACCATTCCAGTGACTTTTTGGAGAATTCACAAATACAGGAAAGACGCACTTCTGACTATTTCGTTGAAGAATATTGTCAAATGTCTGTATCTCATATAGATGCGTTTCAGTCAAAAACCAATAATAAATGTTAATCTTTTGCCACTTCTGAGAGATTATAGGTCTTTGGGAAATATTGGTTCCAGATCTAGGAAGACCATTTAAGTGCAACATCTACCAATACATTGGAAATGAGCAAATTAGTTTAAGTTGCTATTATTCGAAAATTAGAGAACGAAACCTGATGGTTTTCTTTTATTATTTGTCACAATATCTTGTGGAATTCTTTCGAGTATCTTGCCTATATAAACTGTATCGTTTATTATAGTGTTGTAGGGTATTCAACGGTCGGCCCCGCTCGACTGTAGCCTTTGCTTACTTGTTGTAGTTCATAATGGATTCTAGCTCCGACGTCAAAACATTGAATATTTAGGTCCACCTTTTCCTATAGCGCACATATAACGATACCGACCGATACTCGGTATTTTGATAATCCTAGTCACATTTACAAACGAAATTTGGTATTTAAGAAGATTTGGTAGATGACAATCTTTGAAGTATACAATTTTCTCTGGAGATTCCCATTTTGGTATGGCCCCATACAACGACCTCACCCACTTTATGATTTTTTGTTTAATGTAACAGCATTATTCAAACGGTCTTATTGGTATTTGTAGTTTAAAGTGAAACAGGTTTGAATTCAGATCCTTTTTTGCCCTTTTATTCTTCATTTAATTGATACGTTTTAAATAATGAATTAAAGAGCAAAATCCGAGTCAATGTATCCACTTAAACTTTATTTTTTGGGGAAAGTGTCAACATAAGAATTGTTCTACATCAAATTTTATTGTGAGTCTCTCAATAAAAGAAATTTGTAAACGTAATATGTATCATAAAAATCATCAATCTTTTTTATGAAAAAACTTGTTTATTTCTGAAAATTGAGTGTTTTTTCCAATTCGCTGCAAATTTCCTTATAATTTCACTCTACAATAACCAGTCAGGGTTGTGGAAAATTTGAAATGGACTTGATAGGTACACTCCCCAAAGGAGTTGTGGGTTCTTAGGTTAAATATTTATCTTAGGCCTTAGTCTTGACCATGTACGAAAGGACACTATAATTTGAGATATGTTTCACAACATTTAGGATAGAGCTTTGAAATTTGTTAGTGATCTTTGGATTACATCCCGAATCATTGGTGCAGAAAAACAAATTTCAAATACATAGAAACGCTATTTACAAAAAATATCAATAATGGTTCACCTTTTGGTATAGCAGTTATATAATGATAACACTGAATTTAGTTATTGCACGGGTCTTGGCAACCCAAAGCAGAAAATGTGGAATTATTTTTCTACGATATTTTATTGGCTGTTATTGCCTAGATGGCGGATTTATTTGGTGCAAAATTAATTTGAAATCAGATAAAAATATATATATCGGAGTTACATACAAATCTGAACCGATCTCGATAAACAAACATATTTCTGAGCTGTATTTGATATATTTCCCTGAATATCGTTGTTACGGAGTGCATATTACGGCTGTGGGTAACAAATACAATAAATCGGATGAACAATATATATGGGAGCTATAGCTATATCTGAACCGATCTTCACCAAATTTGGCATACTACCTTCTAGACTCAATTCGGTCGTACGTGCCAAATACCATCCCATTTGGACAAATATTAGACGTTTGGTGCACAATAAAAGATAGATCGGACGAAGTTATATATGGGAGCTATATCCAAATCTGAACCGATCTCGATAAAATTTAACAAAGGTATTTCTGAGCTGCATTTGATATATTTCCCCAAATATTGTTGTTACAGTGTGCATATTACGGCTGCGAAGGAAAAATATAACAAATCGGATGAACAATATATATGGGAGCTATAGTTATATCTGAACCGATTTCGATCGAATTTAGCATACTTATTTGCAGGCCTAATTTGCTTGTATGTGCAAAATTCCATACTATTCGGACTGATATTACACGTTTGGTGCACAATAAAAGGCAAATCGGACGAAGATATATATGGGAGCTATATCTAAATTTTGACCAATTATCTCCAATTTCAATAGGGTTCGTCTTTGGGCCAAACAAATGTTGTTTGGAAAATTTCATCTCAATCGGAAAATAAATGCGACCTGCATTTACGTCCTGCGGACAGACGGACGTATATGCATAAATCGACTCAGAATGTGATTCTATGCAGATCATATAAAGGAACTATGGGTCTATCTCGTTTCCTTTTGCCTGTTACAAACAAATGCACAAGGACATAATACCCTAACCACCTTGTGGTGTAGGGTATAAAAATAATAATATATTGGTTTGATAGCCTTACATCCGGCTCACCCACACTCCATCTTAAACCAGATGCGTTTTTGTTCTGCAGGACTTTTGGTATTGACAACGGGCTATATAGGTCCACGTTTTGGTATAGCCCCCATATATCTGTACCGACAGATTTAAGGTTTTTTTTTCTGCTTTACTCACAGTTTTAACCTAAATTTGGTGTAAATTGACAGCAGATGTTCCCATTATGTTAGAAACATCTTGCCATAGAACTGTCCACATAGGTTTAAGTTTTGATATAGACCCCATATAAATGTACCTCCAAATATTCGGTATTTTGATGATTTGTGTCACACTTTTCACCGGAAATGTTCCAAGCTTGCAATTTTAAGTTTCTAATGGGTACTACATTCTATGACAAAAAAAATTGTTCAAAGAGGTCTCAAACGGTAAACAAAAAAATGCGAAAATTGCTTGATTTTTTTTAACATAAGTCCTATGGAGAGCTTCTTATGTATTTAAGTGGACCAACTTCGAATATGCTATAACTAAGCAACAACAAGTTTCATTATTTTTATACATTTTCATCCATTATCTAAAGGCTTCATCCACAGTTTGCAGTAATTTGTTATTTCAGAATTTTAGAGTGTAAATCCTTTTTCTGTCACCAAATTTTTATAGTTTATAAATATGAGGCATTCCGTATTTCAGGATATAAAAAACTTTCATTTTAGTTCAATATATTTCATTATGGATCCTTGGAGTTACTTATTACAGATTCCATGAATTATAATTCAATCCTCTATTGTTTCACATGTTACAAATTACTTTATCGGCACTTATCGATATTTGATTTCTCTTCAAATATTCTTCACATTCTCTATGTTGTTATCATTATGAGGAAGTTTCTTTTTTATGGGAGTCAGTCATCTAATAAAATTAATCTTCTGTTTTAAAGCTATCATACGATTTTTTTATATTAAGTTTTATTATTAATTGAATACCAGCTACTTCGAAGCACATGTTAAATTTTCACAGAATATATTACTTATTTTTCAAGTTCTAAAATCACCAAGTATTTTAATTCGATCATGCTTATATAACATGTTATTTTTAAACTGAAGTTATTTTTAGATACTAATTATCATTTAGTATTTAAATAAACGTTTTATTATTTTTCCATATTTCATATTCATAATTTAATTCGCACTTTTCTTTAAATGGCGCCCAACTGAAAATGCACAGATGACACACTTATTCTCTCACAGGATATATATATTTTTTGTAGCTTTTCACTGCTTTTACCTTGTATTCACTCATTTTTTAACGCTCGTTAGCCACACCACAGGAAAATTCCGAACTCAAAAACGGCGTATCAACGTTCCGACGAGAGTATTGAGAAAAAACTTCAAGTCACGCCGGACCATGGTCTTTATATAGATTTGCTGCCTATGCTGCCATGATCAGATGTTGTTGTTTACTAAAAAAAACTTCTTCGAGTAAATGATATGCACGGTTATCTGGCCAAACCAGTCCCAAAAAAGAATTAAAAAACTTTCTTGATATTTAATGTGCATATTACACTCGAAGAAAAAATGAAGTCGAAGTCAAACAAGAGTTGTTACTTGGAAAGTGTGTGTGTGTGTGTGAGAGAGAGAGAGAGTAGTTAGATGGAAGTTAATACGAGTTTTTGAAGAGCAAACTATGGGAGAGGAAAAGTATATTCCTGGACGGGTTAAAATAATTCTCAGAGTATAGAGTCTTTATATGGAAGATCTTAAAGAAGAATGATGAACTGAACTATAGACAAGTTAAACAATGGGTGAGTTTTTATATAAGGGAACTGGAGTAGGGAGAGTATTTATATGAACAAGTTAACACGGGCAAGATGAAGAAAGAAAAGAAAAAGGAGCAGGGTTTGCATCGAAGAGCTGAAGACTAGTCCCCCGTCTAAACATATACGAGATTTAAAGGCGCGATAGACGACGTCTATGGACGATAGACGATTTAAATAGACGATATTTTAATGGTCAAGTTTTTAAATAGACTAGATTCAAATGACGCGAACTTTTATAAACGAGCTGAAAGAGGAGCGGACACGTATCTCCGAAAAAGGGTGTGCTGAAGAAAGATGAAAGAAGCGAGCTTATTAGACAAGTAGAGGGCGATCCATTATAAGCGAGCTGAGAAGGTGGTTTTATAGATAAGTTGAAGGACCAAATTTTTAAACAACAAGTAAAAAAGCAACTAATTTCGACCGGGCCGATTTTTTAATACCCTCCACCATTTTGAAGGAAATGAAAATAAATCTCCAAAAAATCTGTCCGCTCAAACGAACCCCATTCTATGGTGGCTATATGAAGACGTCGTTTTGCATAAGTAAATTTTTGTTATTGGCTGTAGTACCCATTACGATACTTAAATACATTTGAAACAATTTGAAAGTGAATAATGTCGCTATTATCAGCAAAATACGGAGTATAGTATAGTTATATGTGGGCTATGTGATACCGTGGAGCTATAAAGACAATTCTCTTCCAGAGAGAAAATTACTCTGAAGGAACTCCTTGTGTTAATTTTCAGACAATTCCATTGGAAAATGTGGTTAAAATCAACAAAATACCGAATATCGGGAAGTACCGTTGTATGGGGGCTAACGGTATCGTGGACCTATATAGGGGATAATGTACTAAGAAAGAACTCCTTGTGTTAATTTTCAGACAATTCCATTAAAAAATGTGCCTAAAATCATCAAAATACCAAATATCGGGAGATACCGTTATATGATGGATATACGATATCGTGGACCAGACAAGTCAATTGAAAAATGTGGCTAAAATCATCAAAATACCGAATATACCGGGGGGTACCGTTATATGGGGATATACGATATCGTGAATCGATATAGCCCCTCTTCGAACTTGACCTGCTTCAGTCAAAAGACAGATTTGTTCAAAATTTTAGCTTCCTATCTTTATTCGTTTTGACTCTGGCGTAATTACAACAGACGGACAGACTATATTTACTTTGTTAGGTCTAAAATTATTATTTTGCTGAGTTATAAACAGAATAACGAACTTAATATACCCTCCATACTATGCATAGTGGAGGGTACAAAAAGCTAAAGGGGCAAGGATGACGAGTTAAAGAGATACATTTTTATAAACAAGTTTCCTTTACGTTGACTTACATATATTGTTTCTACTTGAAAATCTACTCCGACTCAATTTATTTTGACTTCATATCTCCCCCTCCCAACCAAAATTTGAATTATCAAACATTTCTCTTCGAGTGTAGCACCTGTTGTTTTGATCTAGAATAGTACCTACCGCCATTAACTATCTCATTTGAATACCAAATGATAGTAAACGGCCAGCATCGGCAATACCGGCCACCTTACCTTAGAAAACTCACTCTGGGACACACGCCAGATGCCAATGGATTTAAGTCTATAAACGATAATATCCAGTTTAAGAGCAACGACTATAAAATTGTTTTTCTATCTGTTTTCATCTGCTTCTTCAACTTCTGATGCATATTCAACGAGTCGTATTTCTCCCCCACCCTCCGCTCACCATCCAACCATCCGACCAAAACAACGAATAGCGGCAGCGCTGGCAACAAACATATCCAAATCAACAATATGATATAGGAATTAATACCGGCGGCAGGCCCCTCCCTGCCTGAATTGAAATCGAATTAATAACAAAACTGGACCTGTTGGATGGATGTGTGACCGACCGACCGACCATATAGTTGGACGAATGGATGGATGCAGGACAGAATTCGTAAAAAATAATAAAAACGGAAAAACAACACCTGTAGCTTGGCATATAAAAAAACCGACACACACAAACAACAATTAAACATTGTTATTTTTTAGTTTAAAAATAAAAAAAAAAATATTTTTTTTAAGGGACGGTAAAAATATTTGAAATTCATTTCATATTTGATGCTCCACTGCTTTCTGGGTCAAATGGAAATTTAAGAAAACAATTAAATAAAATAAATTGTCTGCCAATTTAAACCAAAAAGAAAGGAGATTTAATGGATGAGCCCATGGGAAAATAAGTGGATGTTTTAGATGAAACAAGAAAATCATTCTAAAATGAGCAAATACAAATCCTCTTGGAGTGTCAACGTTAGGACAAAATATGACATTTTAATAAAGATATGAGGCTATTTTCATAGTTTTTATACCCTCAGCCATATGGCTGCAGAGGGTATATATCATTAATGGTTTTATCAAATAATGGTTTTAGACCCTAGGTCTCTTTGGACCAAATCCGTTTCAGAACATTTGGAGTCGATCTAGCGATGTCCGTCCGTCCGTCCGTCTGTCTGTCTGTCTGGCTGGCTGGTGCGCACGATAACTCTCGAAGGGAGTATCCGATTTGGTCCAAACTGGCTACAACGTAATATTTTTGTCAAACTTAGATCGAGTTCGGAGATGGGCAATATCGGACCACTCCTTCTGGTACCTCCCCCACAAAAGGTCGAAATTTTCAAAATATATATTTTTTGCACAAGAAGAGAAAGGATAATCCGAATTTGCTCCAACTTTGCAAATCCTAATATTTGCGTCAGTGCTAGGTCAGGTGTGAAAATGGGCAATATCGGTCCACTCCATCAAGTACCTCCCCCACAAATGGTCAAAATTTTGAATAATTACAACTCTCATAAAATGTTATGTAAGAGTCCGATTGTCTTCAAATTTCACACATCCCAATATTTATATTAACCCAAGGTCTGGTGTTAAGATGAACAATATCGGTCCACTCCTTCTGGTACCTCCCCCACAAAAGGTCAAAATGTCCAAAAATATATTCTTTGCACAGAAAGAGAAAGGATAATCCAAATTTGCTCCAACTTTGCAAATCCTAATATTTGCGTCAGTGCTAGGGCAGGTGTGGAAATGGACAATATCGGTCCACTCCATCAAGTACCTCCCCCACAAATGGTCAAAATTTTGAATAATTACAATTCTCATTAAATGTTATGTAAGAGTCCGACTGTCTTAAAATTTCACACATCCCAATATTTATATTAACCCAAGGTCTTGTGTTAAGATGAACAATATCGGCCCACTCCTTCTGGTACCTCCCCCACAAAAGGTCGAAATTTTCAAAAAAAAAAAAAAAAAAAATTTTGCACAGAAAGAGAAAGGCTAATCCGAATTTGCTCCGACTTTGCGAATGCTAATATTTGCGTCAGTGCTAGGACAGGTGTGAAAATGGACAATATCGGTCCACTCCATCAAGTACCTCCCCCACAAAGTATTGAAATTTTGAGTATCCATGAAGCTCATAAATCGCCAAATTAACATCCGATTCCATTTAGACTTGGCATAACCTTAACACTAGTCAAAATATATTTAGATAATCGAACATAGGCTGAGGGTATATCTCTCGCGGCAATACCGACTGATACTTTTTAACTTGTTTTAGTTACAAACAAAACGAAGAGAGCCTTATCTCCTCCGTTACATTATCAATATTGAAGCGCGTTTTCAAAATGTTATATAATATTTACATATTTTTCGATAAATATTGATAATTTTTTTTTTACAAAATATTGTTCGATAAGTCGAAATTCCAGTAAACCAGAACAAGTGAAGAGAGAGCAATTTTGACAGTTGAGTTACTGAGCATTTCCAAAATCTTACTGTAATAGCATGTTCCCATTGGAAACCGAACAACGTTGTTCGCTCTCAGAATTATGTACACGAATTAACCCGTTCATACGGCACGATTCGTAATTCGTAGTAAAATAATTCCTTTTTTCAAAAATTTTGTTTGTTGATTTTAATGGGAATTTATACGAAAATACATGAAATTCTCACTAATATAAATAGAAGAAATGATTGTTTTTCTCCTAAAGATTTATTATATCATTAATTTTATAATTTTCATTCACGTTTTCAACTTTTTGTGCAAATGTTGACATTTTGAATATATTCTTGTATTTTTCTATTTTTAAATTTTGCTGGAGAGACACTTGTCAAACATTTTTTCTGCCGATACAAAGTTTTTGAAAATATTGCCTCTTTTGTTTGCAGTTTTCTGTGGAAATTTCAACTCGTGGATAAAATGCGTACCTCGAATCAGAGAGAAAACAAAATGTACTTTCGTTTGAATGTACATACGCCATTCAACATTGTAGTTTTCATTCATAATTTTCAGTCTTCCCAAAAATTTTTAAAATTTCATTAAATTTTTCTATTTTTAATTTTTAAATGTCATAATTTATTTTTTCGATAAATGCTCTCATTTGTTAGGGATGGGACATATTTTTTCGTTGTTCTGAGAGTGATTTGATTTGAACAACGTACAAATATGAGTGTTCGCTCAGGAAATTTTGTGTGAAGAATAATGTAGTTTTTTCATAGTTAAGGGTCAAACAACGAATAGAGAGCGAATCAAGTGCAGTGGAAACGCCACATAAGTAAAAAAGCAATCAGTTCTGTAAGTAAAGCAGTAAGTTCGGCCGGGTCGAACGTTGAAACCCTCCACAATTTGGAAATTTTCAAAAAAAAAAAAAAATAAATAACATCCGCTAAATATCTGTTAAAATCTTAAAAATACCGAATAAAGCCGTTATATTGGGGTCTATACGAAGACTGCATAGGCAACTTTTGTCATAAGGCATTACAACTTTCAAATACGAAACTTGAAAAAATACAAAATTTGAAACAACTCCGGTGAATAATTTCGCTAAAATCATCGAAATTATTCACCGGAGTTGTTTCAAATTTTGTATTTTTCAAGTTGTTTCAAGTCGTGGTCGTGGAGGGTAGGAAAAACGTCAACATGCCGATAAATAGGCAAAGATGGCGGACCTAGTTTCTAGTATGCAGGAAACACCCTTACAGAAGCTTTTCAAATTTAGAATTTCAACTTCGTAAAGGGTACTATTTCTTATAACAGAAAATTGCCTAGACAGGTCCACGTCTTCGTATACAGGGTGAGATAAAAAAATTGCAACAATGTCAAATGCATTTTTTTTTTAATTTTATTGAAAGCGAAAAATGTCGGAAATAGCATCAAATTTTAGAATAAGTTTAGATTTGTTCGAATTGGTCACCTTTGACACGAATTATGGCCTTAAAACGGCCAATGAAACCGTCTCACGCTGCCCGAATGTTGTTCTGCGGTATTTTGTCCCATTCCCGGTCAAGCGCTTTGGTATTTTTTTAGTGCCAACCTTGCTTTCCAAAATACTCCAGACACGAAAGTCCAACGGATTGGTATCCGGAGATTTTGGTGGACATTTTGCGCTGAAAGGAAGCGAGGAGCCTCATTTTGTAACCGATGGTGCTGAGTCCTGTTGGAATGTCCAAGGTCTGCGGCCAAAACATTTGCTTGCCCTCCAGAATATTTTCGCAATAATATTCGGCAATTATTCTGATGCCACAGTCGATTAATACGAGCGGAGAGCGACCTCACCATCATTATAGCGGCTCACACCGTCACCATGGCCCGCCCTTAAGTTCTGGTGGCCAACCGAAGGTGCACATTTTCAGCTGACCTCTTTGGCAAGTAAACACGATCATTTTGTTTGTTTACAAACTGCTGGACAACGAATGTTTTCTCATCGGAGAAAACCAAATTCGGCAATTCTCCACTTTCGGCCAAGCGAAGCAACTCTTAAGCTCTTTTGAGTCTATTTTCTTTCTGTTGGGGTGTAAGTTCTTGCACTTTTTGGAATTTCAATGACTTTACCCTGAGCTTATTTTTCAATATTTGCCGAATGGAGTATTGCGACATGTTCAGCTCACGAGCCATTTTTTGGCCACTGCGACGCGGGTTTCGATCAAGTCGCTTATCTACTTTTCGAACCATTTCTGCTGATGTTGCTGTTTTCTTCCGTCCACTTCCTTGACGTCGGACTACGCTACCAGTATCACGGTAACGAGCGATGGTACGAGACACAAAGATTTATTCACACTTAAATGCTGGAGTGATCTAACGATAGCCACTTGTGGTTTTCCAGCCAAATATAAAGAAATCACACTATCACGCTTGAATTCCATCACGAATAACTTTTTACCTGAAAAATTCTCACCAAAATGGTTTATATTAACTTTGTCTAAAAAATGGTATTTGTAAGTCATAATGGGTTCTAGCTCGTGTGGCGAAAAATTGTATATACGTTATGGTATAGCCTCCATATAACGGTACCTCCCGATATTCGGTATTTTGACGATTTTTGTCACATTTTTCACAGATTTGTCTAAAAATTGGCATTTGTAGGGTGTAATGGGTTCTTGATCCGGTGGCGATACATTGTATGTATAGGTCCACGCTTTGGTATAGATCCCATATAACGGTACCTTCCGATATTCGGTATTTTGATGATTTTTGCCACTTTTTTTCCACGGATTTGTCTAAACATTGGTATTTGTGGGTCCTAATAGGTTCTAGCTCCAGTGGCGAAACATTGTATGTATCCACGTTGTTGTGTAGTCCCATATAACGGTAGCTCCCAATATGTGATATTTTGATAAAAATTGGTATAATGGGTTCTAGCCAGTTCGCAATGGGTACTACAACCTTTAATAGAAAATTGGCTAACAGATACCGATATTCGGTAGTTAATTCACCTGAGTGTTTCAAATTTTCCACAATTTTTTTGCTCCCACAAAACATGTCTATTTCGAGGTGTTACAAGCTAAATGACAATCTTAATATATCCTGAAAGTATGTTTTTACAACATAAGCTCTCAAAGTTGTGTCTTTCTCCAGCGAAAAACTCGATTACATACTCTTAAGGTAATTTGCAGAGTGATTTAATATTTTCCCACCGAATTTGAATAAAAAAATTGCACAATATATTCACAATTATTTGTACCCAATTAATCATGACTTTCTCTTAAGAGAAGTGAATTCCGCAGGAATATTTTGTTAAAATTTAGTAACATAATTGCACACAATTGCTCACAATTATGGCGTTGCACCTCGAACAATTATCCTACACAAGTAGGCAATTTATTGAACATTAGTATTACAAGAAATTCCACAAAAAGAAATCATTAAGTCAACCGTTCAATTAGTATTTCCTCCCATTCAAACCGGCCCTTAAGGCTAACGCTCTTCAACATGAAATTCTAATCGAATAATAACAATGCATTTATTTTTGTTAATATTTTGTGTAAGAGTAAAGTATATATTTCTTTATAGTTCATTGCTCTCAATTACGTTTACATTAATGTTAAAGAGATTAAAAGAGGATTTTTCTTACTGATAATACACAAACACACACACAAAATAATATACTTAAAAAGGTCATTAGAGAGTCATCCCTACTTAATGTTGTAAAATACTTTTTTTAAAGAAAATACAAAATTTTTAAAATATCGATGCGAGATTTTTTGCCGGTTAAGGTTACTACTTAAAAATAATTGCCAAAAATATTACTGTTAAATAAAAAAAGAATACTTAATCTTGATACTGAGCTGCAGACATTATAGATAATAGCTTTAAAAGCTAAATGCGGGATATGAAGGTGGTAGGTGGGTGGGAATGGACAAAGAAGAAAACAAAGGAAACAAAGATGAACATAAAAACAAAAAATATATAATTACTACAACTATTTAAGAATACTTGGTGGGGATGATTCTGGAACCATTTTCGGGGTAAACCATATGATGTAAGTTTAGAAATTGTAGATATTGATAAACTTAAGAATCGATGTTTTGTCCCAAAATGGTTTCAGAATAGTCCCTTCTGTTTCGATTTTTGTGAAGTTTGTTTCATCTAAAAGTAAAATGTTTGTGAATTCGAGAAGTGATCTTTTCCATTTTTCTTCTCATTTTAATCAAAGGAGAATTTCTTTCTTTCTTATTCATATAATACTAATTTAAAATTTTCTTTTACAGAAAAAATCTTGTGCTTACGAACTCATCCTTCTAAAAGTATTTTATTCATTCGATAGATTTAGAACATCATCGCCAGTCTTGGGTATTTTAGCTGGGGGTGGGGCAGCTAAATCAGCTATAGACGAGAATTCCATGCGTTTCTTGGTGCCAACACCACCGAGACCGGCAGCAGCTGCAGCACCCAAACCAGCACTCAATGCTGCCAGTGAACCATGTGGTGCCAATTCACCATAGAGTCGTGTCAAATCAACAGGCGGTGTATTCGAGGGACGTCGATGCGCAGAAGAGTTACTACCGTCGGATGGTGCCGGTGATGGTGTGTTGGAGGGCACACTGGATATGGCCAAATCTACAGCACTGAAATTATATTTTCCACCACCTGGTGTGGAGGAGCCACCTGTTACCCCAGATTTGGTGGGTGTCAGACGCTCCAAAGCTGGCGAAGCTGAAGACTCACGATTACGCGATGATGAACTGGTGGATTTGGGTGGTTTCATCATCATGGCATTTAGAGATTCCTGTTGAATCTTCAACAAAGCCGATGGAGACATAAAGAGATTATTGGCAGCCAATGTAGACTTGGCCAATGGATCGGGTATACCAAATTTTCCAGCTTGCTGTTGGTGTTGTTGGAAGAATGCAGCATAGTCTTGCATTTTCTCTTGAGCCAATGCATTATAATAGGCGGCAGCGGGATCGGTTAGCGGCGATGGTGCTCCTGTTGAATTGGGTCCTGAACCACCGCCTGATTTCGAAGATGAAGGTGTATTCGAGGAGGGTGGTGCCGATGTGGGCTGGGCAAAGAGAGCATTCAAATCGGCAGCAGCCTTATTTTGATGATAAAGCAAAGCGTTTAAATCCGATTGTTGCTTTTCGGACTGTAACAGCTGATTGAGCATATCTGTTTGTTGGGCAAGTTGTTGTTGCTGCTGTTGTTGGGCTTCCTTGTGTTTTTGTTTAGCCGAAGACGAGGAACCTCCCGAGGAAGAGGGAACACCACCACCAGCTCCGCCCGTTATGCCAGCTGTAAGAAGAGCTGACAACTCATGAGGTGTTGGCCCACCTTTACCGGTTAGAGCTGAGAACTGATTTGTGGGATCGAATAACTTGGAATAGGTCTGCAGCAATGTTGTATAGTCGGCATGCATTTGTTGCTGTTGTTGTTGCTGCTGATGCTGTTGTTGCTGTTTCTTCGAAGTGCTAGGTGATACAGCTGGCGGTACACTAATGGCTGCAGCTGCCGCAGCAGCTGTCATTTGTTGTTGCAGGAATGCGTTTAGATCATTTGTCTTGGACTGTTGTTGCAAGTAGGAATACGATTGCAACAGATTGTTATAGTCCGCCGACAGGGCTGCTGCGGAGGCGGCAGCAGCAGCATTGGCGGCCGCTGCTGCAGCTGAAGAATTCTTATTTTTACTGCCCTGTGAAGGAGGTGGTTGCAAGCCAGCGGTAAGATAACTGAAATCAGCACCGAAGCCCAAAGTTCCCAATGTGGTAGCTCCCAGTGCCTCTGCCTGCTGCAGTAGCAGAGCAGCATATTCCGGAGAACGTATTAGCTCAGACATTTTCAAGGGATCATTTTTGAACTCATCCAATTCCTTCATCAATTTTGTTTTATATGAATTCGAACTGTTCGACGAGGAAGATGAAGAGGATGAGGACGAAGATGATTTTGAAGATCTTTCGGATTTTGATTTAGTGGGAGCAGGCGCTGGAGCTGGTGCAGGAGCCTGTGGCAACATATCCTGTAAACGTGGCATATTGAATTGCTGCGAATATGCAGCCACTGCAGCAGCTACATTTGGATCCGAAAAGTCAGGCAAACCCGAGGCAGCTGATGGTACTGACGACGACGAAACAGATGAGGAATTTTGAGCTTTATTTTGATTCGATTGATTACCACCTCCAACTTTGGCAGCGGCTGCAGCCAATTGATTGAGCGATGTATTACCATATTCTTTGCGTTGTTGGAATAGAGCAGCCAAATCTCCTTGCAAAAAGTTCGGTGGCAATTGGCCAGCCAGTTGTGCTAGGCTTGCCGCCATTAAATCGTTGGCTGTGGGTAAATTATGGCCAACCGAGGCAGATGCCGATGGTGGTACCAACCCCCCAACGGATGATGGATCAAATTTATTGGTCGGTGTTATGCTGGGACTGTTGCGGGCTATGTCACTAATACTAAATTTGCCAGGACTGGGAGCGGGTGAATTTCGAGTCCTTGATGTATGCGATGATGTATCTGATTTTGCTGGTGAGGGAGATGCCCTCACAGGCAATTCAAATTTAGCCGGTGAAGCAGAGTTTGAGGGTATTGTAATGGGACTGTCACGGGGCGAGGCAGAAGGCAAATTTGCAACAGCTGCAGGTGGTAACGTGGGTATAGCAGGCGGCATAGGCGGTAAAAGTACAGAAGATGGTACTGCTGTCACAGGTGCTGGTGGTTGTGTGAGTGGTGTTATAATTGGAGCAATTCCCGAAGCACTGGTTGTTGTAGCTGCCACCCCAGCAGTGGGGTTTGGTGTAGCCAATGGAGATAACATACGTACCGGGTTCATATTTAGCCCCGATGGTAGACACAATTGTTCCTGCAACGAGAGGACCTTCAGTTCGCTGGCCTTCTGTTCAGCCTGTGATTGTTCCTCAGCTGCGCGTAAAGCTTCTTCTGCTGCAGTAATTTTTTGGGCCAATGTCTCAGAGTCAGCTTTTAATTCTTCCTCTGGTTTCACTTCCAATTTTTCATCTGTGCCCACCACTTTCGGCGCTGCATCGTCCTTTATATCAATTATTTTTATTGTCTTTGGAGGAATAAAATCATCCTCTTGCTCACAACCCAATACAGCACATATCCAATTCCATAATGCTTTATCATTTTGTTTTAGGGGGAATTTTGGATATAATGTGTTTTTTAGTTTTTCAATAAACGTTACATCATCGTTGTAGATATTTTGAAAACGTACAACCTCGTTGCGAAACTGTGTATAATAATCTACACATGATTGGATTTCAGAACGTACTTCTTCGGGAATTTCTTTATCGGGTAATACCGAATATTGCATTAACATTGGGCGACCATATTCCAAGGCCTGTTTGTTTTCATTTGGTGGCATAACCCATATGGATTTTACCACAGATTCCAGTGTGGGATTTTCGTCGAAATAGGGAGCTAGGGAATATGAACAATTAATAAACTATAGCCTTTAGAAAAGCAATAACACTTACATATAATCAAAGAAACACAGGGTGTATATGTGGCATCTGAGGCTCCACGCATTTTAATTTGACAATCCAATTGAGCATCACAATCTCTCAATGTTGGCTCTGCTTGAAATTTCGGATGAGAATGGTACCAACCAACCAATAATAGTTGATCTTTTGACATATTCTTTTGTATATCACGTTCAATATCGGCGGCCTTGCCTCGATCAAAACGGGTATTGCGACATGGATAGGCTTTTGTAATTGCCAAAGCTGAAAGGAAATTAAAAATTGTAAAAACAACTTTTAAAATGAAGTTGCATTTGAAACTTACTGTGTGAAGTTATATCCCAGGTTCCTCCCAAATAGCCACAGACCTCATGCATTGTCAAATGGCAATGGAAATCAGCCAACAATAAAGCTGATGAATTTATTGTCAATAGAAATGGTTGCAATTTACCAAGTGTTGTAAACGGCACTGCTTCTATAAGCATATTTGCATCACTAAAAATAATGGAATGGAAGTTATTGGTTGATCGTTTAGTTAAAGTTGTTCAAGTTTTCAAAACTCACTGCATAACATTACGATTGGTAATGGTATTGTGTTGGAATACTGTCCTTTTCACCACCGGCTGTGGAGATTCACATTTTTTATCAACATCTGGAAGAAGAAAATAGCATTTTTAAAGTTCAATGGAAATAAAAATAGGATCAAAAAAAATATATCACATGAACAAATATATGAAATCTCAATGAATATATTAATCTTTGTAGATTTAATTTGGCTTTGTTTGATGTATTGGATATATGCAATTAGAGGGGATATATATGGAAGTTACTACTATGATAGAGGTCGAGCTCTTGCAAATTGATAAGAATTCGAATATAAAGATTTTTGAGATTGGTGAAATAAGTTCCTTATTGTAAACCGAAAAACATAATTTAATGAATGAACTTCTGCCGACTGAATTAATGGCCCCTGCTTAAATATCTATAATTAATAGATTTATCCCAATACTATATATTTATAACATTGGCATCAATCTTTTCATCCTAAAGAGTCTTTTTCAGAGTAAAATAAACTAAAATATAAAACCAATATCACTATTTTCTTGATCGGGACTAAAAAAACAACTCAAGTATTGGGGGAACTTCACTCTCGTCCAAGAAATACATGAAAATCGACCAAACTTGTTTCTCCAAAATGTCTTACTAACTTAAAATAATAATTCATTCAATTACAAATTAACAATTTACTTCTACTTACCCTCAATATCCTCCGATATGGAATCCTTATGCTGGGCACATTTCCGCAACCAACTATTCTTGAATGCATCCAATTTCTTGCCTTTATACCTTACCGAGGCCCAACCACAACCGCTTTTCTTTTCGGGATTAATGATACGTTTGCAATTCATGGCCCATGCACTGGGCGTTAGGAAAACCGTCTCCGTTTCCTGTGACTTTATTTTGCCATCGGGCAAAAGATCACCAACGAATTTCTGGCCCAAATATTCTATGGTCATAACCGATTTGCCCGGCTGTAAAACATTGGCGCTCATCAATGTTTGTAGGGTTATATTGCGTCCCGTGCCATTGAAACCCTCGTAATTATCTTTTGCCTAGAATGAGCAAAGCAAAACAAATAACATAAAATAGCAAAACACGCACGTTTTTACGATTTCCACTCACCTCATCGTCGGCATCATCATCGGCCACATCGCTGTCATCACCCTTGTCGGCAACAATATCAGCGTCCACCACAGTTCCAGCTGCAGATGCATCCAAGCTAACACCATTGCCACCTCCGACAACTGCAACGCCACTACCAGCAGCAATCGAATTTTGTGCTGCGCTCGTTGTTGCTGCAGCTGCACCTGCAGACGTCAGCAGCATTGCTTGCGATGTCATTGTATCTGATGTCGCCGCCAACATAGCCGCTTCATTCATAGACTGCTGCTGTTGTTGTTGTTGCTGTATTGACGAGGAGGCGTCTGTTTCTTGGGTCGTACTAAAATCACCACTTTCCCGTTCATTTCCCAACGATCTTTCACTTTCACCAACATTATCCACTTCACCTTCTTGCATTGCCCAAGTTTTTTTACAGATCGAGTTGTTATTTTTTGGATTTTTCACAGTTTTTTCATAAAAATATTCCAGAGACTCGCAAAAATAATTGTGTATGCCAGAGTAGGGATCAAGAAGTCCACTTACGACCAATCGTTTAAATAGCGAAATGTCAATGACGATTTATTGTTTGATGGAAAATCGAGTTATCGATATGTTGGTGGTGGACTTTTCTCAGTACGAATTGTACTGTTTTTAAATTGCGGAGAAATTTAATTTGATGTGCAATTAAATTATAAATTGAATGTTTATAGAATATCTCTGAGATTTTGTTGATGAGATCTTGGAAATTGTATGAATAAAGAAAATGTCTTTGTATTTAATTCAATTGCTTCTGCTGACTGCATGATTTGATATCCCTAAGTGATTCCACATGTAGATGGCGCTTTAGTACATTTCACATCGATAACATCCATTATCGATGAGCTCCGTTAATACAATGAGAATTTTTAAAATTATTTCACCTGGAAATTCAACAGAAAATATATTTGTTGGTATTTTGAAGTCCCTACGTAAACAGGTTTGGCTAATATTTTTAATTATTAGCTCATAAAAACTCAATCAACTTGGCTAAAATATGACCTTTTGATGGTGGAAGGTATAAAAAGTCCCAGCAGATCTTAAGAACTTTCATTTTTTTACATTTAATATGTCAATTAAAGAAGGTAAAGTCATGAAATCATATTTTTACAACTTTTTCATAATTACCATGATTTTTTGATTTACGTACTAAAATGAGGAATATGTCGTATAATAAAAAAGGCGTGTTTTTGTCCAATATACATATATAAATATATAAATCATTGAACAATTAAATTTCCGTGTTAAATGTCCAACATTTTGTCAATATCCTTGAAGATACAATTTTTACCCTTTTTTATATTCTCTATAGCCTTGATAATGCCACCGGTTTCCATACATGTGGAAAACTTTGCAAATTGTCTCAAACAATTGTCTGTCATAATTGTCTTTTATGAATAAATACAATCTATGTAATCGACAGCTCGTAAATGAATCGCAACTTATTCAAATACAAATAAGTGACACGAAGAGCCAATAAAAAAATGGAAAGAAATATGACATTTTTGGGACACATGAAGTTATAATAGCTAGAAAAAAATCTTTCTCTGCAAATTCGGAAGTCATTACTTCATAATTTAGCCATCGATTATGACCTCCACCCCAACCTCTTGTTGAGTATGTATGTGTATGTGGCTTTGATTTGCTTGATATTGGCAGAATAATTTGGACGTCGAGCATTAAATTGAACATCATAACAATAAATGACATGAATGATACAAAGCAAAACTTTAACTCAACATGCAATCTCCAATAGCTTTGTAAAGACGTCTCATTGGACTAATAAGAAATGGCATTAAAATAAATTGATAGATAACATAATTTATGGCAAAAGAGAATATTAAGCATAAATACATAAAGATAAATAGAAATAATTGAAATTTAATACGAATCGAATTATTATTTGCAAAGGAAGCCCATGAGCGAAGGTATAGGTTTGTGCCTATATTTTGGGTCATCCATAATATCTTAGATAATGTATTAAACCAATACCGACTATATCAATGCAAAGCCAATGAAAAAAGGACACAAGTCGATTGCGCCGAATATATGATACTCTTCACCTCTATTTATATTCAGCAGGTCTACTCGTAATAGTAATAATAATAATAAATAGCCTTCAATGTATTGCACAATTTCAGAAAAAAATGCAAAAGCTGCATTTTGATCTCATATTCCTCAGCAATCAGCCCCAAGAGTCCATTTAAGTTTTGTGATTTTACCACAATATTAGAATTTTATGAAAACATGTAAAATAAATAAAACCAACTGTTGAATGTTTTAATGTCTATTTAACCAAAGTCTGACAAAAAATATTACAACGTACCACATATGGAATATTGGTCTGTTCCAGAACTGCAAGAATGTAAAAGTTTTTACTACGATGACCGATTTTGAAAATTGAAAAACTTGTAGATTATTAGCAGGTAGTGGAACAGAGCATATAGGGTAAGTGTACCAGTAGTCGGCACTTTTAGGATTTTCGCGTTTTTAATCGCTCACCATTCTGAGTGGAACTTTTCAATTATTACAAAGTTAATTTATTCAGATTCGAAATTTTGTATAGTTTTTGCAACAATAAATAAAGTTTTAATAACTTTTTATTAAATTTCATAAATTTGTAGTTTTATTAAAACAATGCTTTTTTCCAGTAGTCGGCACCACTTTCCAATTGTCGGTATGGCATGATCTAACAGTCGGCATACCAATTTTTTTGTAAGAATAATTAATAATAATAATAAATTAATTCATTAAAATATAATATTTTTGTTTAGTTAAACTGATTCGACGTTTCTATTGTATTTTTCTTAAGAATATGGATAGTTGAGGACCTTCACAGACAAAAATTTATTTTTTTTTTTAGAATAAATCATCTTTTCTTAGCGAAATTGTACACAAAGATAGCTGACAATATATTTGAAGTAAACAAAATACATTTAGTTATAATAGTTTCATTTATTTGGGCTTAAAAATAAAAAGTGCCGACTACTGGGACATGCCGAACTTAGGCACACTTACCCTATTTCCGTCACTTTATATGAGATATGTGATAATTTCTGGAAAATGTTGAAATGTGTCTCAGGTACCACATAAAGCGGACCGAAATATCCCACTTAATCTAATACTAATTGGGACGTAAAGAAAATCGAACATTTATTTCCAGAAGAACTCAGAACTCTGGTTAAAAGAAACCAAGTATGAAAAGAACCACTGACTTTTTTTTCGCAAGTTATGAGAGATACAAGTATTGAAAATTGTGACCCTTTGTGAGAGAGACAATAGAAGGAGTTGGCCAATATCTATCATCGTCAGACAAGATCTTGTTTTGATCTTGAAATAATGGAATGAAAAACATTCGAAGAGAATCCAAAGCTTATTTCGCATTTTATAAGCGTTTTTATACCCTCCACCATACTATGGAGGGTATATTAACTTTGTCATTCCGTTTGTAACTCCTCGAAATACTCATATCAGACCCAACAAAGTATATATGTTCTTGATCAGTGTAAAATTCTAAGTCGATTTAGCGATGTCCGTCTGTCTGTCTGTCTGTTGTAATCACGTAATCTTTCGAATGAATTGAGATAGATGGCTAAAATTTTGCACACATGTTTATTTTTCCAGTAGGCAGCTTAAGTTCGTAAATGGGCCATGTAGGTCCACGTTTTCATATAGCCCCCTTATAACAGTACCTCCCTATATTCGGTATTTTGATGATTTTAGAGACATTAATCACGGGAATTGTTTCAAATTTGGTATTTGAAGTTCGTTATGGGAACTACAGTCTTTGACAGAAAATTGTCTGTGCGGGTCCAGGTCTTCGTATAGGCCCCATATATCAGTACCTCCCTATATTCGGTATTTTGACGATTTTAGGTACAATACCCACCGAAATTGTTTGAGATGTGGTATTTGAAGTTCGTAACCGTTTATTTCAAGTTTCGAATTTGAATATGGTAATGGCTTATGACAAACAATGCCTATGTATGTCCATTTTATTTTTTTAAAATTTCCAAATTCGTTGCAAATGGTGGAGGGTATTAAAAGTTCGGCCCGGCCGAACTTACTGCTTTTTAACTTGTTTATTCAAAATTTTAACTCCTTTGTGGGGGAGATATCGGAAGGAGTGTGTCGGTATATACCATATTCACACCAGATCTTGTGTTGATCAAAATATTCGGATGAGTTATTCAAAATGTTGGTCCATTGTGGGTGGAGTACTAGAAGAAGTGTCTGTTCTATCTGTTCTTCATACCAGACTTTTTATTTAAAATTTATTTATTAAAATTTTAAGAGAATTCGAAACTTATTTCGCATTTTATGAGCCATTATGTTATTCAAAATTTTAACACTTTTGTGGAGGAGTTATCAGAAGGAGTGGGTTGGTATATCCCATATTCAGACCAGATCTTGTAAGGGGAAAAATATTGGGATGTGTGAAATTTGTAGAGATTCTGATGTATCTGTCCTATCCTATCTAAGTGTACTAGTCCACCTCGGAACGGTACGGAACACTACGGCACAGTACCATATTGTTTATTTTCGAACGCTAGTAGCAAGTTCGGACCAAATCGGATACTCCCTTCGCGCGCACCAGGCAGACAGACAGACGGAGGGACACTCCTAGATCGACTCCAAATGTGCTGAAACGGATTTGGGCCAAAGAGAACTAGGGTTTAAAACTGATTTCGATGAGGTACTTTGGGCCGCATCAAAAGATATATACCGTCTGTAGTCATATGGCTGACGGTATAAAAAGAATGATGAATAAAAAAATGATGTGATGACGAAATGACTGACTGATTCATCAGTGGCCATGAAAAACAGCTAAAGCTAGAATCTTGATTTAAAATGTTATCCCAAAGGATTTGAATAAGGTAGGTTAACGCGGTATAGAGTTCAACGAAGGGTTGAGATTTTAAGCTAGTTTTCGAAATACGTTCTAAAAAGTTGATATATGGAAGTGGATTTGGAAATAATATGAAAAGTACTATGGCATATAGCAGTCATATAACTTTACCTCGGTATTTTGATGATTTTAGCTACATTTTTTGACAGAATTAAAATAATTAAATTAAATGCCGCCTTCTCTGGCAGATAATTAACCACAGAGGTTCACGTTTTGGTATAGCCCCATATTACTGCAAAATTTTAAATGGATTTTTTTCACATTTTGTAAATTCCTTCCAAATGGTGAGAGTACACAAAGCGCTTTTTCGACTGGCTTCTTCGTAAAAGAACAAAGGAGCATTAGGTTGACTTAGTTCGATTTTGGTCATAATTTATAATCGTTAAATTTACGATTCTTTGTTATTTTATTAAAAAGCCAGCCAATGACTTAAGTCAGTCAAGAATGCGGTTTATGTATTCTCACCTTTAAAGTTCATTCGAGCCTGTTATTTTACATGTGTATATCCACATTGTAAAATTATGAAGGTAAAGTCATAAGCATATCCATCTCTGCATTTTCTGTAATTTAACTTGTCAAATTTCACTGAATAAAAAACATTTTGTGTATACAATGGATTTTGCAAATAAAAATTTTGACAATAAGATGTTTTCAAATGAATAATTTTGAAAAAAAAAAAAAAAATGTTAACATATGATTGCATGAGTACCTTCTAAATTCTACCATGGATATTAGGTATAGGTATATTAGGTATACACTTTTTATAGCCCCCATCATAGTATGGAGGGTATATTAAGTATATTCCAGCTGATTACAATTTTTTTCTATTTTCAATTTTGTGTATGTATTTGTTGTTTTGAAAAATAACAACTAATAAAACATTAAGTTCGGCCGGGCCAAACTTTTAATACCCTCCACCTTAGGGTAAAAGAAAAATTAGAAGAAATGTGACAAAAACCATTAAAATTCCGAATATCGGGAGGTACCGTTATATGGGGGCTACACCAAAACGTGGACCTATAAATACAATGTTTCGCCACACGAACTAGGACCCATTATAATCCACAAATACAAATTTTTAGACAAATCAGTGAAAAAATGTGGCAAAAACCATCAAAATACCGAATATCGGGAATATCGGGGCTATATCAAATCATGGACCCATACATGCAATGTTACGCCACCGGAGCTGGAATCCATTATGACCAACAAATACCAATTTTCGGACAAATCCGTGAAAAAATGTGCCAAAAATCATCAAATTACCTAATTTCGGGAGGTACCGTTATATGGGGGCTATACCAAAACGTGGACCCATACATGCAATGTTTTGCCACACGCACAGGGACCCGCTATGACCTACAAATACCAATTTTCAATTGAAATAAACGGTTACGAACTTCAAATACCACATCTCAAACAATTTCGGTGGGTATTGTACCTAAAATCGTCAAAATACCGAATATAGGGAGGTACTGATATATGGGGCCTATACGAAGACCTGGACCCGCACAGACAATTTTCTGTCAAAGACTGTAGTTCCCATAACGAACTTCAAATACCAAATTTGAAACAATTCCCGTGATTAATGTCTCTAAAATCATCAAAATACCGAATATCGGGAGGTACCGTTATATGGGGACTATACCAGAACGTGGACCGATATATCTCATTTTCAATACCAACCATCCTAGACACAATGCGAATTGCTCTGCAATTTTGGCGCTCTACGTCAAATACTGTGGGCTGTATATGATTTCAACAGACAGACAGACATACGGACATCGTTGAATCGACTTAGAATTTTATGCTGATTATGAATATATATACTTTATGGGGTCTACGATGAATATTTAAGGATGTTACAAACGGAATGACAAAGTTAATATACCCTCCTTACCAAGGTGGAGGGTATAAAAACGAAACATTTTGAAAATCAATGATTGGAAGAAACTTAAATTGTAGGTCGCTCATTAATAATATTAACCAGATTTGCCATGGAATTGAAAGATTGAACACGTAGGATCATATTTTTGAAAGAACGTCCAGGCATTTCATTCATCTTTCGGAATATTTGACTCATTTTAGAAATGATCAAAAAATACTAAATAAATGAAAACAACTTGTTGTCTATAATTTTAAATAATTCTGACAGGAAGCGGGCATAGCCTTAGGCTGGAAATACATAAAGAGCATATTTAGATGGCTTAAGTCATCGGCTGGCTTCTTCGGAAATGAACAAAGGAGCCTAGGGCCAAAATCGAACTAAGTCAACCTAAACCTCCTTTGTTCATCTACGAAGGAGCCAGCCGATGACTTAAGCCATCTAAATATGCTCTTTATGTATTTCCAGCCTTAGAGCTGTATTTCTGTAGTTTTACGAAGCTGTTCTACCTCCTTATTGTACCATGGTTTAGACCCCACAAAGTATATATATATTCTCTGTAGATTTAGCAATCTACACCGTCTGTGGAAATCTCTCAATCTCTCTAGCTTCCGAACGAAATGAAGTAGATTGATAAAATGTTACTTAAATGTATATTATATCTGAAGGACTTTTGCTATTGAGAATGGACAATCTAGGTCCACGTTTTGGTATAGCCCCCATATAACGATATCACCCGATATTCGGTATTTTTAGGATTTTAGCGACATTATTCACTGGAATTGTTTCAAATTTGGTAGTTGAAGTTTGTAAGGTATACTGCAGCCTAAGGCAGAAAATTGTCTGTGTATGTCCACATTTTTGGTATAGACCCCATTTAGCTACATAATTCACCGATTTTTTTTTTTTCAAGTTTCGCATTTGAATATTGTAATGGCTTATGAGAGAAGTTGCATATGCAGGTCCACGTCGTGGTTTACACCATAATATGACGGCTATATTCGGTATTTTCAAAATTTTAACAGAATTTTTTAAGGATTTTATTTTTTTGAAAATTGCCAAATTCGTTCAAATTGTGGAGGGTATTCAAAGTTCGGCCGGACGAAATTACATGACAATGTAAATTACAGAAAATACAGAAAATACAGAGATGGGTATGCTCATTTGAAATGAATTTTACCTTCTTAATTTTACCATGGCTTACATGTTATCTGGCAAAAGTTATAGGGTCGTGACCAGGAAGTAAATTATTCCGAAACACTGGGTGGATCAATTTGAAATCATTTCTACTTTACGGATCATCCATCCTTATTTACACACCTCAATCGCATTTTTATTCTACAGTTCAAACACCAAATACAATTCGATTAGGCATGTGTTATGCGGTTGCCAAGAAGCAAAAAACGTGTGAATGATGGTTGCCAAGGCAGACGACCCCAACATTAAAGAGACAATACAAAAAAAGTTAAATACCGGCTGTAACTGTGACAGATAGGCACTTTAATATTTATTTGTAAACACGAATAAACAATAAATCGAACAACAATCGAATGGTATGGAAACGGAAAAAGGAAATTGGAAAAAACAAAACAATGCGACCTATTGATGACTTATCCGAAGCCGAACATTCACATTGCAAAAGAACATTCACCGGTGTCAAAAGTCAACTTTTTCGGAGCGGAATCCCGAAAAAAATATTATTTCTTCTTCACTTTGAATATAAAAATAATTAGTTTACATTGACTTATCAGTAACACCAAAAAAAAAGTATTTTCAACAAAACAAAATTGCAAAGAAACAAACAAAAGACTTCGCCAAGGCATCCAGGTCGTCAACCTTGTTGGGAGTGAGCATCGTGTAGCGTGTTCTAGTGCGATAATGGTGCAAATAACCCAAACCGAAGAAGAAATCAAAATCACAATTGAATTGAATCGCCTGATAACCCGTAAACCGGACATTGTCCTGCTGCCGACATATCTGAAATTTAACAACCCACCGATATTCTTTGAACGGCATTTGGTACAGGAAATCGATGAAGTGGCCAGCTTTTGTCGCATCTTTAAGAATGAGGCGCGAATTGTGTTAATCAAGAAGACCAAAGGTATTTGGCCGGAAATCTTTAAAAAATTGAGCAAAGAGGAGTTGTTGCAGAAACGTTTGGAAGTTTCCGATCAGGTGGTGCAACGCAACAAGGAACGTGATGAAAAGGCTCTGGAACGTTATGAAATTAAACGACGCAATGAAATCGATCGTGAAGTACGTCGTGAAACGGCAATGCGGGAACGTGTCAAACAATTCCATGAACAGGCTTGTCGTGACGCCATGACGGTGGCGCCCAAGGAGACGCACATGAAAACAAATGGTTCCAACTCGGCCCGATCGGGCGGCAATCGTCTGGGTACTCCAATTGCACCCCGTTCCTTGCCAGCTTTACGTACTGCGGCAAAAATTTGTGTTAGTTTTTCATCATTTAAATATGACACCCCAAAAAGGGAATCCCAGGAAGGTGTTCCCCGGCCATTTGTTGTTGAAGATATGAACAATGTTCGCGAAGTCAATATACCAACAACAGCTACTTAATTTTAATAGATTGTCTTCAAAAAGAAACTTTAATTTTGGTTGGAAATAAAATATACATTTTTTTCATATTAAAAATAAGTTAAACTGAAGTTTTGGTGATATAGAGCAACATTCAACAATTGTTTGTGGATAATGTCTTAAGATTTCAAATTCCCTGCAAATATTCTATAAATATAAGACATTTCAGATCTCCAATAGATGGTTAATTTTCGAGATTTAAAAGTGTATATGAATCATGGACATCAATTTTTCCTCTTCAAAGCAATCACGTCCATGTACAGAAAGAATGTTTTGAATAAGTTTTTCTATGAAAATCCAAATGGTTCCTGAGAAGTTCAAGGTCAATGTAAAACCTTAAATTTTTTTGCTTTTAATTTTGCGTCATTAGAAGGATTTAGATATTTTGGGGTTTTGTGAACAGATGTCTTTTTGGCAATAAATGCCTAGTTTTTATACCCCACACCACAAGGTGGTCAGAGTATTATGTCTTTGTGTATTTGTTTGTAACAGGCAAAAGGAAACGAGATAAACCCATAGTTCCTTTTGATGATCTGCATAGAGTCACTTTCTGAGTTGATTTATGCATGTCCGTCCGTCTGTCCATGTATTTTTTTAAACAATGTACAGTTCGCATTTATTGCCCTATCTAGATGAAATTTTTCACAAATCATTTGTTTGGCCCAAGGACGAACCCTATTGAAATTGGAGATAATCGGTAAAAAATTAGATATAGCTCCCATATATATCTTCGTCCGATTTGCCTTTTATTGCGCACCAAACGTGTAATATCAGCCCAAACAGTATGGAATTTTGCACATAAAACCATATAAGGCCTGAAAATAAATGTGCCAAATTTGATCGAAATCGGTTCAGATATAGCTATAGCTCCCATATATATTATTCATCCGATTTGTTATTTTTGTCCTCCGAAGCCGTAATATGCACCCTGTAACAACAATATTTGGGGAAATATAGCAAATACAGGTCAGAAATACCTTTGCTAAATTTATTCGAGAACGGTTCTGATTTGGATATAGCTCCCATATATAATTTCGTCCGATTTACGTTTTATTGTGCTCCAAACGTCTAATATTTGTCCAAATGGAATGGGCCGAATTGAGTCTAGAAGCTATTATGTCAAATTTGGTGAAGATCGGTTCAGATATAGCTATAGCTCCCATACATATTGTTCATCCGATTTATTATATTTGTTATCCACAACCGTAATACGCACTCCGTAACAACGATATTCAGGGAAATATATCAAATACAGTCCAGAAATATCTTTGCCAAATTTTATCGAGATCGGTTCAGATTTGGATATAGCTCCCATATATATCTTTATCCGATTTCAAACTAATTGTGCACCAAATGGGCAATACAAGTCCGAATTTAAAAGATACAAATGCTTTGGCATATTTAGTCCTTTGAATTTTAAATTATAATTATAATCATAGCGTGTATGATTGAATTCTCCCATAAAAACTTTTAATTGTTATGTGGAGCTCTACTAAATTAGAAAAGTGGTGTAGGGTATCATAAAGTCGGTCTCGCCCGACTTTAAGACTTTCTTTACTGGTTTCTTTTAATTTTGTGTCATTAGAAGGATTTAGATATTTTGGAGTTTTATTAACAGATGTCTTTTTGGTAATAAATACCTAGTTTTTATACCATATTTAAGTTTGCCATTCCGTTTGTAGCATCTCGAAATATTCGTTTTATACACTAAATATTCTTGATTAACATAAAATGCTATGTCGATTTAGCTATGTCCGTTCGTCTGTCTGTCTGTGGAAATCACTCTAGCTACCGAACGAAATTAAGGAAATTGATACAATTTTACTCAGATGTATATTAGGTCTGTAGGATTTTTAGTATTAACAAATAAAAAATTTGTGAAAGAAACTTGAAAATTTTCAAAAAAAAAAAAAAAAAAAAATGCCGTCTGAAAATGCGCTCAAATGAAAACCGTTATATGAGGGCTATACGAAGACGTGATCCTTCATAAGTAATTTGTGTCATAGGCTGTAGTAACTGTTCCGAAATGTATATACGAAATTTGAACCATATCCGGTGAATAATGTCACAAAACACACGAAAATACCGAATTTTTGGGTATACCCTTATATGGACGCTATACTAAAACGTGGAGCTATTTAGATAATTTTTTTCTAGGAGGTAAAATACTCAGAAGGAACCACTTTTGTGGATTTTAAGACCATTCCATTAAGAAATTTGGCTGAAATCATTAAAATACCGAATATTTGGGGGGGTACCGTTATATGGGGGTATACGATATCGGGGACCTATACAGAAAATTTTCTTCCATTCCATTAAGAAATTTGATTTTCAGACAATTCCGTTAAAAAATGTGGCTAAAATCATCAAAATACCGAATATCGGGAGGAACCGCTAGATAAGGGATATATTCTATCGTGGACCTATACAGAAAATTTTCTTCCAGGGGGTAATATACTCACATGGAACTCCTTTTGTGGATTTTAAGGCAATTCCATTGAAAAATGTCATCAATAAACGGAATATGCGAGGGTACTATACGATATTGGGACCTATATAGGCAATACTCTTCTAAGCGGTAAAGTTCTTAGAAGGAACTCCATTTGTGGATTTTCAGACCATTTCATTGAAAAAATTAGCTACAATATCGTGATATTGGACTGTAGCGTGATTACAATAGACGGACAGACGTCTTAAAATTTAACGCTGATCAGGAATATATATATTTTGTTGGGTCTAAAATTATTATTTAAGGTTTTAAGGTCAAACCGAATTTGCTGTAAATTGGGAGTATGTGTTCTCAGTATGTAGGAATCATCCTTACAGCGGAATATCTCTATAAGTCCAAGTTTTGGTATAGATCCCATATAACTGTACCTCCAGAGATTCGATATTTTAAAGATTGGTGTACACTTTTCGCCGGAATTTTTTCAAATTTGGTATTTGGAGTTTGTAATGGGTATTACCTCTTATGACAGAAAATTGCCTAGACAGGTCCACATCTTCGTGTTGCTCACATACAACAGTAACTCCCTATATTCGGTATTTTGAAGATTTTAAGCACACTTTTTTACCAGAATTATTTCAAGACTTCAATTCAAAATAATTTCCATATCTCAACATCAGATACCGAATTTAGTACATTTTTATAGTACGAATATCTAAAGTTCCTTCTCTACTAATATTTAAACACAGTTACCATCAGTGATCTAACTATCAAATTTCAGAATTTTTACTCTATCCCTTCACCCAATACCAAATTTGGTCCTATTTAGTAATTTCGTTAATTATAGTACACATTTCCAAAACCACGTCCAAATCTTAACCACACACCAACCAACATCAACACATCAAATTTCACGATTTTAGCTCTATTCTTTCGCCAAATACTAAATTTAGTACTATTTTGTACTTCCGTACAAATGCAGCACACATATCCAAAGTCTTCACCATATGTCAATTCCAAACACCAACAGCGACCTAAATATCAAATTTCAGGATTTCAGCTATTTTCCTTCGCCCAATATCAAATTTAGCACCATTTAGTACTTTTCGTACAAATATAGTACGCATTCCCAAATCTGAATTTTAGATCTATACCTTCACCCAATACCCAATTTGGAACTACCTAGTACTTTTCGTAGAATTATAGTACACATTTTTATTTTTCAAAACAATAAATACATAAACAAAATTGACAGAATTCGGTCACACTTAGAAAAAAATAGTAATCACCTGGTAGCTCTACCGTACCTTTATATTGTACCGTGGGTGCATCTATCCTGAACTCTATCAGTGACTCACATTCCAAATTTCAGAATTTTAGCTCATTCCGTTTGTCCCACACAAAAGTATTAAATTTTTAGTACATGTTCTTGCAAATGGTCAGGCTTTATCCCTTTATTGTTGTTTTTATAAAAACAACGTTTGTTTATTAGTGGAGAACGATGTTAATGTGTCCCTGGGGGTAAGGCAGGGAATACCTAGGTTTCGAAAAGAACCACCAATCCTCATCAGTTCCCTTGTTTTTTGTCAAACGTTGTTTTTATAAAAACAACAATAAAGGGATAAAGCCTGACCATTTTGCAGCAACAAAATACTACGGTATCCCGAACAAACAAGCCAACACTGTTCTATTTTTAGTACATTTTAGTACTATTTGTACCCTTTTAGTAAGAATTTCCAAAAACCTAGTCTTATCACGCGCCTACACTCCACGTCTGACCCTCGTGCAAAATTTCAAGATTCAGCTGTTTGGTTTGGACGTAGATTCTCAGTAGTTAATATATACAAATAGATACATCTCCGATATCCAACTATACTCTCAATAAAATTCGCAAAAAAAATGTTAGGTCGGGAGTAGACTTTTCATGTATATATTAGTTTTGCCGGGAAGTTACTTTCAGCAGCTAAATATTCGCGGTTAAATGGAAATTTTGTTTTTTTTTTATACCATCCACTTTGGAAAGGAGGATATATTAAATTTGTAATTCCGTTCGTAGCATCCCTAAGTATTTCTCATAGACCCCATAAAGTATATATATTCATAATCAGCATAAAATGCTAAGTCGACTTAACGATGTCCGTCTGTGTCTCCGTCTGTCTGTATGTTGAAATCACGATACAGCCCATATTATTTTATGTAGAACTTTAAAATTTGGCACAGTAGTTTGCATTGTGTCTTGGATGGTTGGAATTGAAAATGAGATATATCGGTCCACGTTTGGAAATAGCACATATATAATCGTATATCCCGATATCCGGTATTTTAATGGTTTTAGTCAATCCAGCAATTTGCCTAAAAATTGGTATTTGTAGTTCGTGGTGGGTTTTAGCTCCAGTGGCGGAACATTTTATATATAGGTCCAGGTTTTAGTATAGCCCCCATATAAGGATATTCGGTATTTCGATGATTTTTGCCACATTTTTCCACGGATTTGTCTAAAAAATGGTATTTGTTGTTAGTAATGGGTTCCAGCCTCTATGGCATAATATTGGTTATATAGGTCCCGGTATTTTGATTTTACCAACTTTTTTCCACGGATTTGTTTAAAAATAGATGTTTGTAATGGGTTCTAGCTCCGGTGGTAGAACATTGAACATTTTTTGTGGCCCCCATATAACGGCTCCAACCACTATATGGTTTTTTGAAACTCTAACTGCATTCTCCTACCTATCTTACTGGAGTTTGTAGTTTAAAGTGGAATACGTTTGAATCCAGATGCTTTTGTATAAAAATGTTTTCATTACCTAATAGTGGAGACTATTAAAAGGCCGAAGTTAATGTCTTTTTATTTCTATACACAACAGTTATGGTCCAGTTCAAACGCTAAATATTAAAAGATCATCGTCCAAAATTAAGGACTTCTTCTCTGACCTAAACTACATTATTCTATAAAAATCCGCGACCAGTTTATCCCCCAAGAATTTTGCAATTATACTCAAAAAACTATAGCCTTTTGTTCTGACTCTAGCCCTGACTGCACATACAATTTTGTAGGCACCGGAATGTGATTGATTACAATTCACCATAGATAGACGGACATTAGGGAACACCTCCTCGAGATGTGATGATAGATATATAAACTGATATAAAAACTGTTCCCAAAAAAATTGAAATATATTTTGCTAAAATAATATGAACTTTTATTTATTAAAATATATAAAACAAAAATTAACACACATAAGTATATAAAAACAATTAATATTACATATAAGTAGATTAAGGATACAGACATATATATTTACACATTTTTGGATATTTGAATATAATAATTGTTTTAAAAAAAAAAGATTATGCTAAATTATATTTAGAAAGTAGTTAGGTTGTGGTGAATGGAAATTCCGGACGTTTCTAAATTTTTGTGATTGTAATAAACACATTGGGAGATTAATTGAGTAGTGTGGATATAGGTTTTCTGGAAAGGTCAAGCAAATAATTCGTTTACAATGAGCTTAAATTTGATAAAAATTGATCTTCCTTATCTTCGCCAAAAAGTCCCATTCAGAAAATTGTAGTTTTAAACATTATAGATTTTTTTTTTTGGAAATTTGATGTGACAAAGCATTGAGATATCTTAAATATTTTACCACCACTAGCCACCTTAACATGCCACCAAATGAAAACCCTCCGGTTCATCATCGAATGATACCCATGTATTTTGTAAATATTTTCGCACATCACTATCGGTGGCGGCCAAATCTATCAGAGGATTATCACTTTTCTTCTCCTCCAAATGATTGGTGATGTGAACATCGGCTTTGGATTGGAAGACGGCATTACCATTTTGTTCCTTCAGTATATTATTGCTTTCATTCTTGTTGTTATTATTACCAATTGTGGTGGTGGTAACAGTCATACCACCATTGATGGGATTCTTCACCTGATGCACCACAGTATCACGCCAATTTTGATAGGCATTCTCAAAGCAACGGGCCACCAGTAGTGTAATTTCATGGGCAATCTTTCGTTTGGGACACAAAAATACATGACAAGACATTTTCTCCTTATCCGACAGTGGATCCGGTTCCGAGCCAACAAACGAAAAGGCATGATCATGGGCCGCATCCACAGAACAATAGGAAATTTTATAGATCGAGAAACGCATCAAAGATTCATCACTGACATGATCCGTCACCTCAATGCCCTCCTCTGTGATAATGACTTTCACACGTTTCTGGGTCTTGATCTTACGACCACCCGCTTTGGCATTTGCAATCACAGTTTTTATAGCCTCCGATGTTATTTTCTCGGAACGTTTATTCTCAATCGGTGTGCAGCCCAGATATTTCAGTTCATACGTTTGGAAGATCGGCTTGTTATCTTCTTCGCCATCGGCTTCAAGGGAACCTTCAAAGTTGAATTTAATATCGTCAGCATCTTTTTTGCCGCCACCAGATTCTTTGATCGTCTTATCGCCACCCAGACCCCAGTCCTCACCGTCTATGACATCGTCTGAAGTGAATTCTGTAAATAGGAAGAGAAAGAAAAATAAAAAATGTATTTTCCGTTTAATTGTTTTCATTACGAAATAACACCATTACTGATAACATAAATCGCAGCGTAATTATCGCGCGCCACTTAGAGGGATGGAAAATTACATTAGACAAATCATAGACTAACTAACAAAGGGCACAAGGCTGCACACGACAAATGATTTATTTGCGTTCTAAAAATAATCATTTTGTGGCGTAGTTTGTTAGCCAGACGTGTGTAAAATGGGAATTTGATGGGAATTTCTAAAGTTTTGAGGAATATGGTTGCAGGGATGAAGGGTGTGTTCAATTATTGTCTATCAAAGTAATACCAAAATAAATGGGATTCCTAAAGGGTTAATCATTACAAGAATAAAACCCATTGATATTTAACTCTCATCATCATCACTCTCATGAAGAAAGAGAAAACGAAAACTAGTAATACTATCATGGTAGAATAATATAGGTAGACGCATCGACGCAGCTGCTGAGACAATGAACTGTCAAACCAATTTTGGATTTGAAAATGTTGAATGAAAAATTATTTAAAATTGTAAAAATTGTTGAAAAACACGAATTATAAGAACCTCCGAATGACGTCGTATAAGAAAACATATAAAAATCTACTTATATTTAAAAAAACATTTAAATTTTTTTGACATTTCAATGCTCTCAAGCGTTGATGCATCTACTTGTATTCTTCTACCATGAATACTATAAACAAAATTCACAGTGGCGCATGGAGAAGGGAGTGAAATAGACCTATAGTTACTTTTGAGGATCTTCATAGAATCGCTTTCTGAGTCGTTTTATGCATATCAGTACGTCCGTCTGTATGTCCATGTATTTTTGTATCAAAATGCAGGTCGCATTTATTATCCGATTGAGATGCAATTTTCCAAACAATAATTGTTTCGCCCAAGAACGACATACATTGAAATTGGTGAGAATCGGATCAAATTTAGATATAGCACCCATATATATATATCTGATTTCGATTTAATTGTGCACCAAATAGCCAATATCAGTCCAAATAGCCTGGCATATCTGACCGCTTTCAGCAAGCACATTAAATTTGGTGAAAATCGATTGAGATATAGCTATAGCTCCCATATATATATTTCATCCAATTTGGTGTTTAAGTCCCCCACATTCGTTATATCCATTCGACAACAATGATATTTAGTACCAGATATCAGATAAAGCCCAGAAATACCTCTGCCAAATTGTATCAAGATCGGTTCAGATTTGGATATAGACCCCATATATCTTCAATTGATTTCGGGTTAGCCAATATCTGCCCAAAAGTCCTGAATTTTGGTATATCCGACCGCACTCAGTCTAGAAGTACAAAATCGGTTCAGATATAGCTATAGCTCCCATATATAAGTTTCATCCGATTTTGTGTTTATGTCTCTCAAATTCGTTATCGAGATCGGCTATGATTTGGATATAGCTCCTAAATATCGTTAATGCGATTTCAGGTTTATTGTGCAAATAAAGGCTAATATCAGCCCAAATGAGTGAATTTCCGGACTTACGTTTCCATTTTGTGAATTATTAATTATTTTTATACCCTCCATAATACATAGTATGAAGGGTATATTAACCCGTTTGTAACTCATCGAGATAATCATTTTAGACCCAACTAAGTATATAAATTCTAAGATGATTTAGACCTTTCCGTCCGTCCGTCTGTCCGTCTGTTGTAATCACGTCAAGACAATTTAAGACATGGTGCTAAAATTTTGCGCAGATCTCTCTTTTGTCTGCAGGCAGGTCAAGCTCGAAGATGGGCAATATCGGTCCGCGATATCCTATAGCCCCCTTATAACGGTACCCCCCGATATTCGGTATTTTGATGATTTCAGCCACACTTTTCAATCGAATTGTCTGAAAGGAGTTCTTTATGAGCACAGGTTCGCAATATCGTACATCCCCCATATAACGGTACCCCCGATATTCGGTATTTTGATGATTTTAGCCACATTTTCCAATGGAATGGTCTGAAAATCCACACAAGGAGTTCTTTGTAAGCACTTTACCTCCTGAAAGGGAATTGTCTATATAGGTCCACAATATCGTATATGCCCCATATAATGGTAACCCCGATATTCAGGATTTTGATGATTTTAGCCACATTTTTCAATGGTATTGTCTGAAAATCCACACAATGAGATCCTTGTGAGTACTTTAATCCCTTAGAGGTTCACGATATCATATAGCTCCCATAGAACGGTCCCCCCCCCCCCCCTCTATTCTGTATTTTCATGATTTTAGCGACATTATTTACCAGAATTATTTCAAATTTTGTATTTGAAGTTTGTAATGGATACTACAGCCTATACCAGAAAATTGTCTGTGCAGGTCCACTTTTTAAAAACCCCATGGTACCTCCCTATATTCGGTATTTTTATGACTTTAGCTGCATTATAAACAGATTTTTTTTCAAGTTTCGCATTTGAATATTGTAATAGCTTGTGACAAAAGTCGCCTATGCAGGTCCACGTCGTAGTGTAGACCCTGATATACGGCTACATTCGGTATTTTTAAGATTTTAACAGAATTTTTAACGGATTTTATTTTTTTTGAAAATTGCCAAATTTGTACTAAATGGTGGAGGGTATTCAAAGTTCGTCCTCGAACTTACTGTTTTTTAACTTGTTTAATATAATCCTCCTCATGCACTCTATAGCAACTTTATTTGGTATAAAAGATTAAAATGTATCCTTCAAATGTAGTGAAAATCGATTCAGAATTGGATATGCCTCCCATGTATTAGTTCCCTCTGAAACCAAAACTCCTCTAAAGACAAAGGTTGATAGGTGATAAGACCTACTTCAAATAAATTATTTTGTTACGGGAGCTCTACTAAATATGCATAGTGGTGTAGGGTATTATATAGTCGGCTCCGCCCTACTTTTGACTTTTCCTTACTGGTTTTTTAATTGAAGACCATTTTACAAATACCCAAAATTTAATTCCACCCTAAGAATTTTTTCTTAGATGAGAAGATGTAACAGTCCTCCAACTAATGTTCAGAAAAGGTTTCTAGTTCGATAGACCAGGGAGGAAGAAGCTATCATCAGTGCTGCAGAAATATTGATGTCATACTACTTACACGGTAACGCCAATTGTGGAGTTCTAATGGTCTCAACCGAGAAGCAGACACCGCCTGTTTAAAATCTACACGGCGAAGGTAGAGGAAAACTAGCATAGTTTTGAAAGAACAAATTAATGATTTAGAGAATAAAATATTATTTTGAGAAGTTCCTTATCATGAAAATTCTAAATAAGGTCCAAGAATGAACAAAATGAAGTCTCTGTTGAATTTTCAACTTCACAAATCGATTTAAACCCTGATACAATAAGGAGGTGAACCAGCCTCGTAACAATACTAAAATGCAATCCTATTAGATACAGCAATTTGTTCTTATTATTTATTTTTTTTTCATCAGTTTCTTAAGCTTAAAAGATCGGATTTTTTTAATTGAACTGCTTTAATGCGCTCCCGCAACGTACTTTTTTCAAACAATTGATGCAATAAACTCAAGAACTCTGTAATAGCTTCTTCTTCATTTTTTCTTTATATTTTAATTCCAAATAAACAAAAGTAGAAATGATTTCGAATCACTGGCTTCTTCCAATCATTACTTTTTTTTTAGCAGCTTCTTATTGAAACAAGTCATAGCCTGGTTATTTTGCAATTAACAGCCAATCAAAAAATGTAGGAAATTCCCACCTTACGCTGAAGTGGTAATTCCAGTGAACGTATCAAAACCTTTGTGCATCGTGAAAGTGAAGGGAATAGACAGCGAACATTGTTTGTCCACGTTTAGATTGTTTACATTGTAATGATAATTAAAATAGCTTTGAAGCGAATTAGAAGTGGAAAAGAAGCATTCTTTTCTTTTGACATGTTTCCGGATTGTTATTCATGCGGTAATTTCTCAAAATTATTTAAATAAACAATTCTTATCTTGAAAATAAAAACTTTTTTGTTTTCATTCTTTTTTAAGATAAGGAGCATCTACGGAAGACTATATGGAGCTCATATGACGCATATAAATTCTATGTTATGGTTTAAAAATTGTATTTACATACAGATTGAAGTTTATTTGCGGATAGAAAAAAAAGAGTAGACGAATATCTTGAGAAACAAAAAAGAAAAAAAAAAACAAATTTTGTTTTGAATCCTACCACTTTTCTAGACCTCTATAAAATACAAACGAACACATTTTTATACCCTACACTACATAGTGGTAAGGGTATTATGTCTTTGTGCCTTTGTTACTTTTGAGGATCTGCATAGAATCACTTTCTGAGTTGATTTATGCATGTCTGTCCGTCCACCCATCCGTCTGTCCATGTACTTTTGTAAACAAAATGCAGGTCGCATTTATTATCCGATTGAGATGAAATTTTCCAAACAACATTTGTTTGGCCCAAGGACGAACCCTATTGAAATTGGTGAGAATCTGTTCAAATATCGGTTCGGATATAGCTATAACTCCCATATATATATATATATATATATATATATATATATATATATATATATATATATATATATATATATATATATATATATATATATATATATATTTCATTCGATTTTGGGCTTTACGCCCCTCAAAGGTGTAATATGCACTTCACAAGAAAAAAATTTGGTTCCGGGCATCAGGTACTGCTCGAAAATACGTATGCCACATTTAATGGAGATCGGATCAGATTAGAATATAGCTCCCATATCTATTCTTATCCGATATCAGGTTTATTGTGCACCCATTTGGCTAATATCAGCCCAAAAGTACTGAATTTTTGCAATTCCGACTGAATTTACCATTTACATTTACCATTTGGTGAAACTCAGTCCGGTATATCTATTGCCCCAAAAAATAAATTTTACCTTCCACCATAATATGGAGGGTATATTAAATTTGTCATTCCATTTGTAACACCTCGAAATATACATTTTAGACCACACAAAGT